TCTGTTAATATTATATAATAACTTTTAAATAGTTTAAATTCTGATATATTCTATTTTCTTTTTTTAGACTAGTCTAAAATATATTGATATTACAAATTACTGGCTTAAACAGAAAGTTCTAAATGAAACTATTAATATTTATTAGATTTTAATTAATAGAATAAAAGCAGATAATCTAACTAAATAATTTAGTAGTCAGAAATATTAATACTTTATTTAGTAACTTAATATAGTAAGAATTTGATTATTTATTTATTTTTTATTTAGATATTTTATTTATTTTCTTATTTATTAGTCTGTTTACTTTAATTTTAATAGAAACTATTTAGTTTTTTTAAAACTGCGGGAGTATGTCAGACTGGTAGATTATCTGGATATAAAAATCCTAAGTTCTAGTTTTTTTAATTTAGTTATCTGAATAAGAACTATTATTTCTAGCCTGCTTTATTTATTCTATTTCTGTATTATTATATTTATGTTTATTAAATATTTTCAGTTTTCTATTTAAAAAATTAGTAAATAAAGAAATTTAGCTTAAATAGCCTAATAATTCTTATTATTCTTTTAAATTAGTTTAATCAGTTCTATTGATCCATCAGTTATATATTAAGTTTAATATTCTGTTTATTTTCTTATTTATCTAATCTTTGATTATTCTGAATTTTATAATCTTTTACTTTGATTTTACTTTTACTTTACTTTCACCTTACTTTTATACCCAATTTGTATGGAAAAGTAAGAGATAGATGAAGTCTTAGTGAATTGAAACTGAAACCCTCGAAACTCCAACAATATATATAATTCTTAACATAGGCGTTGTTTTTATAATAGTAGGATTTGTAGTATTTTTATATCTACCGAAGTTCTGCTGTATATTTGTCTTCTGTTTTCTATATTATCTACAGGTATTTTTTAGTCTTCTTAACTTTCTTTTATTTGTTTTTTCTATAATTGATTATATTAATCTTTATCTTATCTACGTCTTTGTATCCTATCATAATAGGTTTTTTAATAATCTATTTTAAAAGCTGAAAAGCCTATTTAAAAAGCAGATAATAGCTGTTAGTTATATCTAAGATTATAAAAATATAAAAAAAATAACTATATTAAAATATTTAGTAAGTATTTTAAAACTGTTTAATAAATATTTATTTTTATTCTAATTTTTTAAAAATATTATAAAAAAAATCTTATTTATACTGCTTGATCTAAGCCGTTTATATAATATATTAATCTTAAATAATTCTAAAAAAATAATTTCAACTGCGTTTTAAAAATTTAAAAAATTATAATTTTATTTATATTATAATATTACTTTTAAATATAAGACTAGATTCTAAATATTAGTAAACAAGTATTTTTCAAGTACTTATTAAATAATTATAAAGTATTTATACTAATTAGAAAATTAATATTATATAAAAAGATTAGTCTATCAAGACTGTTTATTTAGAATTATTAAAAGATATTATTTTTACATAATAAGTCTAATTTTATTTTTATTATAAAAGCTTGGATATAGTTTAATTAGTATAAATATATTAAACTAACAGTAAAAGTCTTTAAGCTGTGGATTTTAAAGAAACTAGATTATATAAATATTTATTTATTATTATATTTAGATTATAAATCTACTAAATAAGCTGTTTTATTTTTTAAAAAATTCTTTCTAATACTTTTATTAGCAGCGGCAGAGAATATTTATAAATATTATAAAAGATAAAAATAAGATAAAAATATAAATCTAAATTTTAAAAACTTAAAGTAGAAAAGCCTATATTATAAATAGTTTAAATTAAATATTCTAAATCTTAAGAATATTATTTGTTATAAAGAATTAGAAAATATTATGAAACTATTTAATAAGTAATTATTATAGTATTTTTACTATAATAATAGTAGCTTAAATATATTATATTTCTTTAGAAATAATTTAATATAATTATTAAAAAACTTTTTTAAAAAAGTAAGATTAAAAATTATATAATTCTAAATAATAGTTTTTTAATATTTTTTTAACAAATCTCTAATCTTATAAATACAGGTTATATAAAATATATAAAAATAATTAGTAAATACTTTCTAACTAGTTTGTAAATAGTTAAAAAAGATTAATACCGGCTGAATAAAATATTTAAATATAGATTTATAAATTAAAAATTGTTTATATAAAATTTTTAATTTTTAAAAAAATCTATACTTTGCTCTATAGTAGCTGGAAAATAGTTGATAAATATTTATTTATAGATATTCTGTTTGCTAGTATTAGTCTTTAAAATCTTTATATTTTAATATATACTTTAAAAATACTTCTAAAAGTGTTTATCAATAAAAGTATAATAATAAAATGAAAAAGACTAGCTTAAGAATTTATATTAATAGATATTAGAATATTTTTAAAACTATTTTTTAATCTAATATTTAAAAAAAAACTGCTTAATTTAAGCTGTGTACTTAATATTTATTATACTAAATTTATTAAATAATTAGGAGATAGTTAGTAAGTATTTAGTAGATATTTATAAACTAATATTATTAATTAAAACCCTAACTTTAATATTTAAAAGTTTATATAATAAAACTATATATATATTTATATAATATAGTTTTAAATACTTTAAAAGATTATTAATATATTCTATAAACTAAGTAGCTAAAGAATATATCTTTGTTTAAGTTGGAAAAATTAAAAATAGCAGTTTTTAGAGATAAATCAGTTTTTAAATATTTAATAATTAATTTAAGAAATTATTTAGATTAAGTTATTCTTCTCCGTAGAACTAAGTTTAATAATATTATTAAAATCTATAATTAAAAGTACTTGATAGATACTTAGTAAATACTTAATAACTACTTAAAAAACTATATATAATAAAATTAGAAAAATATAAAAAAAGATTAAATTTTAATAATAAAAAATAGTAATTTATAAGATTGCTTGGAACGTTTCTACTTATATAAAGAACTTAGTATTACATGCCGTAGGAACGTTCTACATAAACCCATGCAAGACTTTAGATGACCTGTGTTCACTTAGTTGTATATATGTACTCCGTAAGCCAAAAGTATTTGCACCACCCGCTCGTCAATCCCCCACCTGTTATGTTTGAAAATTAATATACCAACATCGCGTACCGTGTGGCGTCCATTTCGGACCTGCCATCTTCGGTAAGCTGATTTGTGGATGTCTTAGGCTCAGTTAAGAAGCCAGGCTGAACCGAGTGTTCTCCATTCACTAATCTTGACCAGCTAACTAGCTAGCTTGCCCAGGCCACCCTGGCCATAAGTGCTGAAGGGCAAAATAGGCGATTCTGCCGGGAGTACTGATCGACAAGTCGTTCTTATGAGACAGAACTTATGTCAGACGATTAGACAAATTGAATCCCTATAATAAGATATCCCTTCCCCGCTCACAAGAATCGGGCGTGTCAGTTATATGAGCTGCGTGGTGGGGAAAAGTAGCTGAGTGGTGGTGAGTGGGTTGGCATGTTCAACTAGTAGGTTGGTTGTAAGCACTTATGTATGTTTGCTACTGCTAACAGTGTGGTGTACGTAGTAGCTTAGAAGCAGTCCCCTTCTCTGCCCTCCAGCCTCCTCCCAGTTTTGGCTGTATGGATTGTCGTGCTCAACTCCTACCGTGGTTGTAAGCACTTATGTACACTTGATACTGTTATCAGCGTAGTTTGGCTACCCCGCCCTCCTGTTTCCAAGCTCTAACGAGCAGGCGGTGTGATCAAAAGAACAGGCATTTCGCAATATTTGCCACCTCGGGACCACCAACACTACCAACACTACCCTCCCCTTTCTTATATTATTCCCAATCATTCCACTCGTTTTCAACTCTAATTAAGTAACTCGAGATTATCCCTCTCAGATCACCCCCCCAAACTCAAATGAGCCAACTTACGCCGCAGGCTGAATCTGATAGCGGGAGTCGGAAATCTAAGCCGTTCCGACGCCACGCCTGTGACCGGTGTCGCAGTCAGAAGCTCCGCTGTGATCGGACAGTCCACCGGACGGATACGTCAATCGCCTGCGATCGCTGCGCTCGGAACCATTTGACTTGTGTCACTAGCGCTGCCATGCCTATGGGTCGACCGCGCTCCTTGAATCCCAAACCGCGTTACTGTCGCAAATCCAGCAAGACGTCCGTGGAGACACGATCCAAGGACACCGAGACTGACTCTTCGACCCCACCTTCCTTTACCACTGTCCAGCGATCGCCCGACCTCGGCATCGCCGAGATGGACGCCATCAATGAGCTACCAGCGCTGGGCTTTGATCAGGGGGACATAGGCTATGACATCGACTTTCCGAACATGGAGGTATTCGACGCATCTGCGTTCGCCGATCTGGCCATGGGCTCGCAGCCCGACGTTGCCGGCCCGACCGGCTCCGCAGCCGTCAATGCAAACCCTCAGGAGCAGAATGTCGAGCGCTTGTGGAAGCTTCATAGCACACTCCTAGAACACGTATATCGGATTGAAAGTCAGGTGACAACCCGACCCGATCCGTCTGCCAGTGGCTCTTCGCCTGACACGCACGCCTTCGAATCGCGTTTGTCCGATGTCGCAAACACACAGAGTGACCATCCGATGCACCAGATGATGCGCTGCTCACAAACCTTCCTAGAAATCATTCAATCTTTTGTCTCCTCCTATCGAGAGTCTGTCTGCAGCATTCCACCACCGGACTGTGCTGCCACCGACGGCTCCCGCGATTCGGACGACGAATACTTCGTGTACCGTGGCGATTATCGCCCAGATTCAGCTCCAGTCTCGGACGCTTCGTCCTGGTTCACACTTCCTGCCTTGGATCACCTGTCAGCCCCCTCCCCTTCCTTCCCCGGCCACGGGCGCAATCGAGCCTGGTCCCGAGGAAGCCACGAGAAAGGTAGCAGCACCAGCGGCAACGGCAACGGCAACGGTCACCCCGATAGGAACCGTCGAGGACCGCGACCGGGCCTTCCCCCGGCGTGCCAGACCCAATTTCCCATCTGCCTAATCATCGCAACCTGCCACGTACTGCTTCTCCGCCTGCACCGCAGCGTGCTCACTGATCTGTATACCTCGGTCCGATCCTTGGTGGCGCGATACACCCCCGCCGGCAATCTGACCGGTCCACTCGCGGTCCTGGACAATTTCCCGGGCCCCGTGCCTTTCTCCGATGTGCACTTGAATGGGTCGACGTTGAAGTTGGATGGAGTATTGCAGATCACCACCGTCTTGCAGCTGAGCTGCGATTTGCTCGAACGCATCGATCGCGGGGTGGAGATTCTGTTGACAGGTGCGGGCCATGTTCTCTCCGCTCCGGGGACGTATATGTCGGTTTTGGAGGCTCTGGCACAGCAGGAGGCCCGCAGTGGGCGCGGACCTGCCGTTCCCGACGGAACGATGGGTTCCACCGGGGGCCGGGCCGCTCGATTGGCCCCGTCGCGGTTGCTGGTCAGGAAAATTCGCAAGTGTATTAATGATACCTGTCTGTAAAGAATGAGTTTTCCCCATCTCATACCATACCATAGAATCTTTTCTCTCGGGGATTATCACGATTGCATTTATCGTTCAGCCACTAGATATTTTCCTGGATACAGTATTGCAGTACTTCCGAGAGAAACTTTTGCGGTGGTAATATTTCCCATGAATTGTCCATGTTCAACATGCTAAGTGTAATCTGTCGATACTCCACTCCCTCCCGTGTTGTTTTGCCCTTTTTTGTTTTCTTTTTCTAACCACGTGTAGTGTAGTGTACTGTACTGTACTGTACCGTATTGGACTGGACTCCAGCTTGGCCGTTCACCGCCCGCGAGTCTCTAAGGTACTTGTTCCATCACTCCTCACTCCTTGCTCACTCCTCACTCCTCACTCCTCGACGTCCTCCATCATTTTTGCAACTGATCCATCTCAGCACGTTGGAAAACGAAACAAAGACTAACACTTTCGACCAGAGACCTCAAGGTTAGGCAGATGAAGAAAAACAAGACATCAAGAAGGCGAAACCAAAGGCAGGAAAATGGGGGCCTGCTGTCTCTCCAGAAAGCTAAGATACTCTCCGACCATGGGACTCATCCCCGCCTGCACCGCTTGCCGGATCAGCAACTCCAAGGTCTGAACCTCCTCCTCCTCCCCCCCAGTCTCTTCCTTCAGATGTTCCGCAAATGTCTCGACCGGCACCACCACGTCCCCAGCATGATGATGGAGCCTTGCTCGTGGTTCTCCATCTGCAGATTCACCATCTCTCACCCATGCGAGAACCCCCCTCGCGACATTGTGCACATCCACAAAATCTAGCCACCCCGCCACTATGCCCCGTAGCACCGGAACGGCTCGGAGCGCCCGCGAGAACCGCACCACGTTGTGGAAGATATCCTGCGCAGGGGCGTCGGGCCCCGTGATTGCCGTCGGCCGGTGAATGTGCACGGGCACGCCCCATTGCCGGCTGGCCTGTTCGAGATACACTTCGCTCACCCATTTGCTGGCTGCGTAGCCCCCGCGGATGGTCGGTGGGGGGAAGGCTGCGACGGAGGTCGCTGGAAATCCGCCCGTGCCGCCGCGGATGCTGGCCCGGGGCGCGAATTGGATCACGCTGGCGGTCGAGACGAAGTGCAGGGCCAGGCCGTGCGTGCGGGCCTGGTACGCGAGCCATTTGGTGGAGGCGACGTTGACGGCGCGCATAACCGGGTAGGCTTTCAGGAAGTGAACGTCGGCCCCGTTGTGGATGATGGTGTCGGCCGATGCGAAGATGCGGTCGCTGGTTGCGGAATCGAGCCCACATGCAGGGAGAGCGAGGTCGCCAGAGTGGATGGCCACCCGGGACGTGGAGTTGGAGGGAATCCGGCCGGACAAGCGAGAGGGGTCGCGGACGGCGATGCAGTGGATCATTTCGATGCTGGGGTCGACGAGGAGTTGTTCAAGGAGGACTTGGCCCAGGAACCCCGTGGCGCCGGTGAGGATGATGGTTTTCCGGCCGTGGTGCTGCGAGCGTGGGTGGGGCCGCGGTGGCTGGGCTGCGGTGACGTTGGCGTCGAGGGCTGTTTCTTGTGCCCAGTCGATCTCGTCCCACGGCTTCTCGGTGGCATTGGGCTTGGTGATATACGCGGCCATCTGGGCTAAAGTTGTCCGCTCGAATAGCTCAACGAGCGCGAGTTTCCTACCAAAGACCCGAGTGATTGATTGCTGCAGTTTCACAAGAAGCATTGAGTTCCCCCCAACGTGAAAGAAGTCCGACTTGGGGCCGATGTGATGCAGCTGGGCTACTGCCCGAGGTAAGACCTCCTCCCACAGCACTCGGAGGTGTGCCTCTGCTTCATTAACGCCGGAGTCAGGATCGGCGGTTCGGATGGGAGCAGTGACATGATAAGGTAGGGCCTCGATCGCGCGACGGTCTACCTTGCCATGGGAGTTGACAGGCAAGGAGTCGGCAATAACAACTGCTGCGGGCCACATATACTGGGGCAGGGGCAAGCGTGGCGTGAGAGCATCCACGAATGCTTTTTGCTCGTCCGCACTCAACTGCTGTTGCTGTTTACGATGGAACACCACATGTGCTAACAGGTACTGAGAGTCAGTGTCCCCTTGGGCCGTGACGACGACTGTCGTTAGCCATCCTTTTGCCGCCTCAAGCAGTGCGCATTCGATGTCGTTTAGGTCCATGCGCAGACCCCGCAGCTTGATTTCCGTGTCACCACCAATCCGGCCTTCGAAATCTAAGATCCCATCCGGTCGCAACCTGCCGCGGTCACCGGTGCGATAACCTCGCACAGTCCGGTCCCTGCCGCTGAATGAGCCGGACTGCGGCAGCGTAAAGTGGACAAATTTTTCACGTGTCAAATCCTCGTTGTTCAGGTAGCCGAGCGCAATCCCAGGGCCGGTAATGAGAATTTCGCCCGGCACCCCCACGGGCACCGGCTTCAGATCTCGGCCCACCACAAAAGCCGAGTAGTTCACATTCACAGGGCCCAAAGGTATGGGTTTGTTAGATGGTGAGAGGTAGTCGACCTCGAACGAGTGCGAAAATATACTCACTTCCGTTGGGCCGTAAACATTCTGTAACTGCAGGTCCGGCTTGTTCAGCGTCCGGAGCTCATGCTTGAGGCTGTCGCTGATCTTTTCACCGCCCGAAAAGAGAACCTGCCATGCGGACTTGGCAAGGGCTGACCCTTGCTCCGGCAGGGAGTTTGCGAGTTGGAGCCAGCTTTCGTACTCCGAGGGAGTTGCCATAGTATGAGTCAATTCGTGCTCCAGAATCCGATTGACAATCGAAGCTGGGTCACCACGGTATTCTCTTGGGAGGACAAACAGGCGACCTCCGTTGCATATGGTCATGAAGGCTTGCGCAACGGACATGTCGAACGTTAGCGCACTTTGCTGAAGCATGGCCATTTCTGAGCTAAGCGTGAACAGTTCGCTTGACGTTTCGATCTTGTGAGCGAATGCCGAATGGGGGAGGATGACTCCCTTCGGCTGGCCAGTGGAGCCACTCGTGTATAGGATGAACATGGCGGAATCTGGCCTTGATCGATTCGCGACCGTGGTCGAATTCATGATGCCTGCCCCTGCAATGTCGATGCTTATCACGTCAGGCTGTCCTATGAGCAGCTCAGAGACGTCCTTTGCAGTAGCTGAGTGAAATAACACCGCTTCTGGCTTGCAGCTTTGGGCAACTTGCTGGAGTCGAGGCAACGAAAGTTTAGGGTCAAACGGAACATAGACTGCTCCGATCCGGAGGATAGCCAACATACAGCAGACCCAGTCAGTGGTTGGGTGTTGAAACACGGCGACTTTCCAGCCTGAAGAGACACCGTTCCTCAAGAGAAGCGCAGCGATGGTGTGCACACGGACTGACATCTCCGCGTATGTCAGAGACAATGACGCATCCTCGATTGCGGGCCGTGCGGGAGACCGGGCAATCATTTCGTCGACGCGGTCTACCAGGGTGCCTTCCCACTTTATCGCATATTTCGGACCCTGTGACAAGGCGATGGCTTTATCAAGATCCGCAACTGGGTACGGCTGCACTTCATCTAGCCGGATATCCGGATTGTGGCTGAATTCACTGAGCAGCTGCCGAAAGCTGGCTGCGAGGACCTCGGTTTGCTCCGCCGAATATAGATAGCTCTGGGTCACAAACATGATTGTGGCGTCGGACTGCGCGTTCTCGATCACATCCAAGCTGATGTCGTACCCTGTTTTCCCGATCTCATACTTATCAGCCTCCAGCCGGCAATCACCGAATGGAAGACTCTCTTGCGCCCCTTGGCGGTAGTTCACGAACGCCTGGAATACAGGAGTGTATGATGACGATCGCGTGATCTGCAGCTCGTTGTATAGCACGTCGATGGGGACTCTGGAATGCGCAAGTGCCGCACGCGCTTGAATACGTGCCTCTTCTAGGGCCTCAGCGAATAGAGACCGGCCATCTGCACGTAAACGGACTGGTAAAAGGTTCAAAAAGAAGCCTACACTGTCAGCAGCGCCGCTGAGATGATTTCTGTTCCCGTCGGCCACCCCGATGACGACGTCGTGGCTTCCCGAGAAGCGGTATAGCAAAGCCTTGAACAAGGCCAGGTAGAAATGAAACGATGTCGCGCGATGTTTGCGTGCTGCTTGCTTGATCTTGGTTCCGAGAGCCCGAGGGACCTTGAAGTCCACGCGATGGTGGGCATACTGGAGCATCTGCTGGCGCGTCGAGCGTGTGGAGACCGATAAAACAGGGAGAACTGGTGGCATTTCCTGCAGCTCGTTCCTCCAGTACTGAATGTCAGATTGGACCTCATTGCTCTTTACCTGCTCGTGCTGCCAAGAAGAGAATTGGTGATACTGCAGAGGTTCGGGCTCTAAGCCCTTTCCGCTGTAGACTGCCTCGAGATCTTTCAAGATCACCTGCAGACTAATGCCGTCCATGTTGATGTGGTGGTATCCGACAAGGAGGTAGTGGGACTGAGCCCGCCCAGACAAGAACATGATACGCATACTTTCGCCTAAGGTGAGGTTGTATTCGTGCGCGTGCATGAGATGGAACTGCTCAACAGCTTCATCGTAGTTGCATACAGAGCCCTGTTCCAATACCAAGGTGGATTCGGGCAGAATTCCTTGCCAAGTTTCGCCGTTTTCTCCCCCAAAGAAGCAAGTTCGCAAGGCGCTGTGTCTCGTGCCAACTGCATGGACAGCTCGCGCCAGGGCGTCCGTTGCTGGCGCTCCCTCGAGTCGGATCAAGCAGGTTATGTTGAAAGTTGTCCTGTCTTCAAGATAGCTAGACAAGAACCAGAATCGGCGTTGTCCATAAGACATTGGCACACGATGTAGAACAGATGGAGGCTCAGGCTTGGTGATATCCGGCTCACTGGTGGTTGTGGACGGTCTGGAGCTGTCCAGAGGAGTCGATGTCACATCCTCCTCGGACTCGGAGCTCGTTGGGGAGTGTATGGATGCAGCCTCTCCTTCAGTCTGGCCGGAAATCTCCTCATCCTGCTTCGAGGGCTTAACACTTTGCTCTGCTAAGTCCATAGACGGTTCATGAACACTCCCTTCCACAGCTGCAGGCTGGAGCTGCTTGACTGCGTATGCAATTAAGTCGGCGATTGCAGTGCCTCCCATAATCTTCAAGACAGGCATATCCACGCGCAGCTCACGCAGCCACCACGACCGAATGTCTACCGCCACAAGCGAGTCAACTCCCAGCTCATCCACGTCCTGACTGAGCAGTCGCGTGCGAGCCGAAGTATCCTCGAGTTCGGGCAAAGACAGCGCCATTACCAGTCTGCGCAGAAAGGCATCCTCCACCATCTGGCGAATATCCGCCGCGTCAGCCGCCTCCGCTACACGCGTGGCAAGGGGAATCGCTGACTGCACTTGTCCCTGGGCGGACGACGAGACTGAATCACTTGGCAGAATACAGTGGCAGAAGCGAGGATTCCGCGCCCACTGCACGGTCCCCAACTGATCGCTGCGGCAAAGACGGATGCCCGCCAGCACCTGCGGGTTCTCCAGCGTGTTGTCTGGTCTGCCGGACAAAATGGCCTCGGCAAAGCTCTGGTGGAAGTCGTGCTCCGACATCCAGAGGTAGCCGTAGTCACGCAACTGCACCTGGAGGGCGTAGCTACGGTCGCGCACCAGCACGCCCACGCCCATCATGGCCCCGATATCGATCACTGAGCCCGCCAGGCCCCGCTCTTTGCGTTGCGCCGCAAGCCCGGCCATGAACATGTTGGCTGCGGTGTAGTTCGCCTGCCCGCTGTTGCCACAAGCGCCCGTCAATGACGAAAGCATGACAAAGAAGTCCAGAGGGTGGCGCCCATCGAAGATTGAATCGAGGTACCGGCTACCGTCAATCTTGGGCCGCAGCACTGTCCGCATCTTCTCGGCGTCCATGTCATAGATCGAGGAGTCCCGAAGTACCATAGCTCCGTTGACTACGCCGGCGATGGGTGGTGCTGTTTTCCTGAGGTCCTCGTACAGGGACTCTATCGATTGACGTTGCGCGATGTCACTACATTTCCGGGTGTTAACGTGCCTTTCTGTTATGGTTCGCGAGCGTTCTCTTACCTGGCAACGACAGTGACCACTGCTCCCTCGCGACGAAGGGATCGTATCCACCGCTCATCCACTTTTGGATTCCGACTGGTGACGACTAGGTGTCGAGCTCCCCGCCGGACCATCCACTCACAAAGCGACAAACCCAGACCACCGGTTAGACCTACAAGCAAATACGCCCGATCGGCATGGAACAAAGGTTGTGCGTCAGCAGGGTCCAGCTGCGCTACGACTGATTGTGCCCGCCAATCGATCAGAGCATAAGGGGAAGCGAGGGTTTGCGGCAGCTCCGCTATGTTGACCAGATTTTCGGAGGAAGGAGTAGCATCGCCAGTCCAGTCGATGTGGATCTGCTCGTACGCTCGCTGGAGTGCGTTCACACCGCTTTTGTGGGGAAGTTTACAGGCTCCTGCGCCTCGTGTGCGCTGCATCTCAACAAGCCGGCAATCATACATGCTCGAGAGACGACGGGCTGGGGAGTCACGCTGTGGCGAGATCGAAAAGTCGAGAACAACTGCCGGTCGGACTGGGAATGATGCCCTCAACTCGCGATCATTAGCTCTGCAATGAACAACGATGTCACATAAATCAGCGGACTCGGTGTTTGTGGCCCAGCTTATCTTGTCTCCCCGAACCTGCGCCCACCTGGAGAGAATGGTTCGGGAAATGGAATCGGCCGCGAAAGCAACGACGACGCTGTTTTTCGCAACACTGTCGCCCAAGCGACCTTGTATGATCAGGTTCATTGCCAAATACCTAGTCAGTATGAGATCAGCGGGGGTCGCCTCTCGGTTCTTTTCTCCATGAAGAATGCAGAGCTCTTCCTCCACGACAACCCGGCTGGCTAATCTCGGAACCAATGCGAAGAGTGTCCTGTTCGATGCATTGCAACGGCCGAAGACAAGGTATCGATTCTCGCCGGATCCGAGAGTGAGCGGTTGTGCGGCGGAATAAATCACGTCGACCAGCAACCTCTTGTCTTCTGGCGACAACTTAGGTGCGTGGTGGTCCAGGTGAATCGTAGTCTCTCCCGACACATCTCTCTGCAAGCATAATGCCGTCTCCGAAGGATTAACGGACCGCACGACGGGCCTTCTTGACGCATTGTACCGATCGTTTTGCGCCTTGTGCGGAACAACCCGAGGAATATATGTCTTGCCCTCTTCAATCAACAGCTCGGGCTCGTTCGACCAGAGCACTGACGAAGCCCTGGCAGCATCTGGCACTCCCTTCCCGAGGAGACAGAGCCGCAAAGCATGCTCTGCGATGACTCGCGCGTCGGCGGCCTCGATGTTCTTCCCAATGTCCAAGAATTGCAGGTTCACATGCGGCATCTCGAGCGCCGCCGTCCGCCCAAAGCCGACCGTGGCATTGCAGTATGGCTCGCTGCTGCGCGCCCCGCGCAGCAGCCAGAGAATATTCTGCGACTGGTCAAACAGCGTCTTCAGTGCGCTCCAAGTACCATCTTGAAGGTTCTTGAAGACCGGACTGTCTAAATCAACGAGACAAATGATGGTGCTGAGGGCATTGACCGGGTTGTCGATCAAGTCAGCCAAAGAGTCGCGTCTCGTGATTCGGGGACACTTGGAGGATAGATGGACCGAAAGGTCCTCGACGAGTTTGAGTGTGGACATACTGACCCCCCCCAGCAAGACGACTTCTGGGAGGCCCAGGTCGGATGGAGTGCTGAGTAGTGGTTGGCGCAGGAGTCCGACCCGCTCGTTCGTTGCCTGACTGACAATGATACTCAGTGGCTGACCTGCCGAGAATGGGGACAGCGCGTCTATGCCGGCGAACCCGTGTTGTCGAAGCTGACGATGCCATTCTGGAACAGTCAGGGGCATGGTCTCGGCTATGTCACTGTAAAGGTCAAACCGGGCCACCTCTCCAACCGCCTGCAAAAAGAGATAACCTCCGGGGCGGAGCAGGCGTCTAGCGGCGTTGAGCATTTTGTCAACCGAGATATCACTCATTACCAAGGTGGCGATAATCAGGTCAGTCTGATTGGCTGCGAAGCCCTGCTCTTCGACATCCAGGTCGTAATCTATCACTGAGATACTCATCCGTGCCTTTGATGGCATGCTTCTTTTGAAATGTTCGACACGCGACTTCGGTAAGCTGAGCGTGTAAGATGAAAATCCCGGGCCAATGGCTTGCAAGATAGTTTCCGTCAAGTGTATGTTACTCGCGTCTGCCTGAGAGTTAGTCTACGAGCTTGAGCTGTCCTTCTTGTCGGGGCCAGTGATCGACTTACTGAACTCAACAATATTCATTGCTGGATACCGATGTGACAGACGGCGAAGCAGCTGGACCAGCTGATTATTAGTGCCGGCCACCCCCAGACCTCGCTGAAAGTATTCGGAGAGCAATCCACTTTCCCAAAGCGTCTGCACATGGCTCGAAGTTTGGCCTTGATCGCCCTGTGACAGGAAGTTTACCGTGTCAGCCAAGATACTTAGATCAATGTTCTCGTGGTGGTGGGACCCATCGCGCTGTCCAGCAGCAGCGGAGTCTATTCCCTCGCTCGGACTAGGGCCCATCTCGAGTGTCTCGGTGAGTGCAAGCAGACGGCTCTTGACTCGAGCGATGCCAGCAGCATAGCGGTCAGCGGGGTTATCGAAGCTATCCGTGTCTACTAGATGCCTGGTCGCCAACATAATGATGCCTTTTCCCCTCCGTTCCTCCGCTACCGAGGGTGAAGACGCAAGCAGGGCGGGGTCGGCAAGATTGGCATTCTCCCAGATTTCACTGGCGAAAAGCGCCCTGTCGTCGGCAGCCGTCGGTGGCACAACTGGAATGACGGTAATCTGCTCGACTCGAATTGCGGCGGGCTCACCAACTGTGCGCGACAACGTGATATCTCCACTTATCGATGCCTTCACTCCTTCCCCGGATTCGGTATGAAAATAAAATCTCCTGTCCGGAGTCGCACACAAGTCCGGATTTATCTGCACGCGTTTGATGCTTGTCGGGACGTGCAGCGATGCGAGACGGCCATCTCCCGGCCAACTGTAGGCCAGAAACACTGACTGGAAGGAGGCGTCCAGCATAGCCGGGTGAACGAGTACGCCGGGAAGAACTTCGGTGTCGGACGTAGGCTCATGGACAACTCCGGTGCTGAGATTGAGATATCGTGCCAGGTGGTCTAGTGCTCTGAAGGGCCCGGTGTAGTCATAGCCGAGCTCTTTGAGTCCGTCGTAGAACCTTTCCCCCTCCACCTGGATAACATCCTCGAACACCTGGCGTGCCGAAGGAAGGGTGTCTTGGCGAGGATTGTCCAGTGTGAGACAGACACGGCCGTGCGCTGCCATGATGAGCGATCTGGATTCCCGGCCAGCCGTGGTGTGGCAGTTGAAGGTGGCAGTCAAGAGTCTATCGGGGCCTTCTTGCGACCCACGCGCGATGTTCGCCAGTGTCACGACCACCTCTGCTCCAGCATCTTCCTCATCAAATGTGATTGGCCGATCGATGACCAGGTCAAGAATCTCTACCAGGGATATCTTGTCCTCAGGGCCGACCACCGCTTTACTTGCTTCCACTGCCATCGAAATGTACCCTGAAGCAGGGAAAATGGTCTGGCCCTGTAAAGAATGACCCCTGAGCCACGGAATCTCCCCGAGGGAAAGGATATTCCGCCACTGGACATGATCCGGGTTGCTTGTCTGACGGTTGCCAAGGAGGGGATGTGGGAAGGTCTCACGGAACAGGTCGTGGTGTATGACACGCGATTTATGCCAGAAGGGACGACTATGATCCCAGGGGTAGGACGGTAGGTTCGGGACGAGCTGATATCTGCCATCTGTATCCGAAAAGGCGGCTTGTAGCGCGGGAAGATCCAAGGTGTCGCGTCCAAGCAGTCCCCAGATGAACCCCATAGCATCGGCAAAGGCTTTGGTATCATGGGAATTTCGCTGGAGTAGCCCTGTGTAGGGGAGCTCGCGTTTGAGGGTGTCCTGGATAGTCGCGGTTGCTGGTCCCTTCAGCGCTGGGTGCGGGCCCACCTCGAGAACCAGGTGATAAGAATCATCGCACTGCTGGATGGCGTTGGTGAGTGCCTGGGAGAACAGCACCGTACGACACATGTTCTCGACCCAATATGGCCCGTCCAGTCCCTCAGCACCGCTGATACGATTGCCGCCATACACACTTGAGTACCACGAGCAGCGAGGCTGTTGGAATTGGATGCATAATGCCTCCAAGGAGCTCCCATATGGGCCGGAGCAAGGCCGCATGTGATGTGAATGATATGCCTTGTCAACAATCAAAGGGCGTGCAAACTTCTTCTCATCCTGGAAGACCAGGTGCGCGTGGTTGATTGCATCCTTATCGCCGGACAAGGTCACACTCGCCGCTGAGTTGCTAGCAGCGACGGTCAGTCTGCCCGCGAAGGTAGGCAGACTGCAGAGCTCTTGGGCATCTTCCATCGACGTTCCAGCCGCAAGCATCCCGCCCGGCTCCCCCCGTTGGCCGCCTGCCTGCGCGGTGTGGACGCCGCGATAGTACGCGATCCACATGGCCGCCTCGCCCGAGATGCATCCGGCGGCATATGCGGCGCCAATCTCGCCCGAGGAGTGCCCGACCACGGCGGAAAACTCCATCCCAGCTGCTTTGAGGCAGTCCACCAGCAAGATCTGGACCGCTGTACATAGCGGCTGCGAGAGGCGTGCTTCGCCAACCTTGGCGGCCGCAGAGAGCATCTCCTCCTTCAGGGACCACGTCGGACGATCCGACTCCGGGAGACGAGATAGGGCTAGTTCGAGCTCGTCCACGCGACGTTCCAGCCAGGGGGAGCTTGTGATCAGTTCCCGTCCCATCGTGGGCCACTGCGCTCCTTGCCCAGTGAAGATGCCCAGCACTCGTGGCTGTGCCTGACCGATAGTCGCAGGTTTCATGACTGGAGACTGGTTGCTCGTCCGGATTCTATCCGCGCTGCCAACGATGCTGTTGACCAGGTCCATGGCATTTGTTCCGGAACAGGAAGCTCGGATTGGCCACAAACTCCGACGCAGATACAATGTCCACGCGAGATCCGCGAGGTTGGTGTTGGGATGCTGCCGAATGTGAGTCGCAACCCTTTCCATCATGTTTGCTAGAGCTGATTCGGATTGGGCAGAGAAGACGAATGGCATGATGATGGATTCACTGCGGTTGGTGCGTTCCTTCTGGGTTGCCGAATAGCTCTCCAGGACAGCGTGGGCGTTAGTTCCACCAAACCCAAAGCTGTTCACACTAGCACGGCGAGTTGAGCCGGAATGCGCTGGCCATTGTTGTAGCTCAGTCGGAATCCGCAGCCGCGCCCAATACGGCTCAATCTCGGGATTCAGGGTGCGAAAATGCATATTTGGCGGGATCTGAGCATGTTGAAGTGCCAGGGAGGCTTTCAAGAGTCCCGCCAAACCCGCCGTACCCTCTGTGTGGCCGATGATTGTCTTTATGGAGCCAACTTTTAGACTGACATTTTCGTCCCCGGCTGCTTCCGGCCCGAAGAAGGCATTGAAGATAGCCTGCGCCTCCTGCGGATCCCCTGCCTTGGTGCCCGTGCCATGGGCTTCGAAAAATTGCGGCCGGTCTTCGACGAGATCCAAGCCCCCGGCTTTGTACGTGCTGCGGATCAATTCAGCCTGGGCCTCGCTGCTGGGCATGGTGATACCCTTCGTGCGTCCATCCTGGTTGACGCCGGTGGCCCTGATTACACATTCAATCCGGTCACCATCTACCAGCGCTGTTGAGAGCTTCTTCATCACGATCGCAGCGACGCCATCACCACGGGCATAACCGTTGGCACGGTCGTCCCACATCCGAGAACGGCCTTCGGGTGACAGCATCTTCAACTTACTCTCCGCAATGTACGGCTCCGGGCCGAGGAGAAGATTCGAGCCCGCCGCGACGGCAACCCCGGACTCGCCTGTCCGCAGAGCTTGAATGGCCTGATGCACAGCGACCAGGCTGGATGAGCAGGCGGTGTCGACTGTCCAGGAAGGACCGTGCCAGTCAAAGGCATACGAGACTCGGTTTGCCATGATCGCACGCGAGGTTCCCGTGGCAAAGTACGTCGGAATCGTATCCATATCGCGCGTAAGAATGTCGGTGTAGTCCGCGCACATCTGGCCCACAATGATAGCGGTATTCGAGCCCCGGAGGCTCTCGACGGGCAGGCCGCCGGATTCTAGTGCCTCGTAGACCACCTCGAGTAAGAGCCTCTGTTGGGGATCGATCGCCGCCGCCTCATTGGCGCTAATCTGGAAGAAGCTGGCGTCGAACGTCCGTACATCTTCCGTCAACGTGTATGCATGTTGCACATTGCTGGAGCCATGATGCAGGCCGTCGGGGTGATAGAAGCCTGCTGCGTTGTAGCGATCCGCTGGGATCTCGCGCAGGACGTCCCGGGGCTTGGATAGCAATTCCCAGAGCTTGGCAGGCGAATCGGCCTGTCCGGGAAATCGGCAGCCACTGCCGATGATTGCAATAGGCTCAGGAGGCATCTTGTTACTGTATCACACGGAGCCTTGCTGGTTGATCTGTTCTTGCTTTTGTTGTTGTTGACATCCTCTGACTTGCCCAGTGCCTACAACCATCATCCTTTATATTCTGCTACGGTCGTTGGAAATGTCATCTCGGGGGGTCGGGAAATCAAAGCCGAAGCCATTGGCCAGAGAGAATTACATTACTTCAAGTTTCCGCGATGAAAGACTCAATTGAGTTGCTGAGGCTGTCAGCCGGGGTGGTGGTGGATTGAGCTCAAGGTGTGCGTTGGGGGGTTGTTTGCGATGCCTGAGGCAGCGACTTCGGGGACATTTTGCCAAACCCGCAAACCAAACAACTTCGCGAAATGTCGTAAATGTCTCCGAACAGCTCAAAAAGACCGCGGAGATGCATCGCTCGCACAGTTTCTTCTTCTTCGTTTCTCTCCAGTCACACCTCCTTCATACCTTCTACCATTTACACACACTCTGACCTGCAATTGCGAATTCACCGAACAACCGTCATGGAAGCGAACAACAGTCGTTCCGACTCGGTTGGCACGCCGCCAGCAGAGGTCTTGAACGATGCGCCGAAATTGAGCTTCAACCACGATCTTCGGTTCTGGCTGGTCTTTGCTGCGTTGTGTGTGACTTCTCTGCTGGCCGCTCTCGAAGGAACCGTCACGTCAACGGCTCTTCCTACCATTGTCGCGGACCTGCAGATTGGCGACAATTATCCTTGGGTATCCAACGCCTACTTCTTGACCACGTACGTGAGAATTGCACACGCCTGTCCCATCGATTTCAGAGTCTAATGTGTTCTCTCTTGTATAGCGCAGCCTTTCAGCCGCTCTACGGGCAGCTCGCCAATGTCTTCGGCCGCCGCTATCCAATGATCTTCTCCGTCGTTCTCTTCATCCTTGGCAGTGGTATTTGTGGCGGTGCCTCGAGCGCGGCCATGCTAATCGCTGGTCGTGCGGTCCAAGGCGTTGGAGGCGGCGGAATCAACATGCTCATCGATCTCATCATATGCGACCTGGTCCCCCTGACGCAGCGAGGCGCGTACATTGGACTGCTATTCGTCGTCTTTGCCGTCGGTACTTCACTGGGCCCATTCATCGGCGGTGCTATTGTCAGCAACACGACCTGGCGATGGGTCTTCTACCTCAATCTCCCGATTGGAGGATTAGGTCTAGGTCTACTCATCCTCTTCCTGCAAGTGAACTACAACCGCGAGATGTCCATTGGGACGAAGCTGAAGCGCTTGGACTACCTCGGGAACCTGCTGCTCGTCGGGGCAATTGTATCCATTCTGATTGCGCTCAGTTGGGGCGGCACGCGTTATCCTTGGTCCTCCGGCCACGTCCTCGCCCCGCTGATTATTGGTCTCCTGGGCATTCCGGCGTTTGTCCTGTACCAAGCAACTCCATATGTGAAAGAACCGACCACCCCGTTGCGACTGTTCAGCAACCGTACTTCGATTATCGCGTTCTTCAATACCTTCATGCACGGCCTTCTCAGCTTCTGGATCCTGTACATGCTTCCGGTCTACTTTCAAGCCGTGTTACAGTCATCCCCAGAACGCTCCGGCGTACAGCTTCTCCCAACCGTGATCTCGATGATCCCCGTTGCCGGCGTGTCAGGTGCCATTCTCTCGAAGACCAGCAACTATAAATTGCTCCACATCGTCGGCTTTGCCCTTCTCACCATCGGTCTCGGCACCTTCACGGTGCTAGGGCCCGGTTCCTCCACCGCAGCGTGGACGCTGACGCAGATGGTCGCCGCATTTGGCGCCGGGACTATCATGCCCGTCCTCCTTCCCGCGGTCCAGGCCGGGCTCGAGGAGAAAGACACGGCGACTTCTACAGCGCTCTGGGCCTTTGTCCGCAGCTTCGGCATCATCTGGGGCCTATCCGTGCCTGCCGCCATTTTCAACAATCAATTCGACAAGTATGCCTCGTCGATCAGCGATAGCACGGTACGAAATATGCTGAGCGGGGGTAACGCGTACTCGTACGCCTCGAGTGCGACCATCAGCTCACTCCCCGCCCAGGTGCGGTCGGAGACCATCGATGTGTATTCCCGCAGCCTGCGGGTAGTGTGGCAGGTCTCCATCGGGTTCTCCGGGCTGTCGTTTCTGCTTTGCTTCTTGGAGAAAAATATCAAGTTGCGGTCGCATCTGGAGACGAAGTACGGTTTGAAGGAGAAGGAGGCGAAGGACGGTTCGAATGGAAGTTCGCCCCCTCCTTGAACTGCCGGTTGAGCAAGACTCGGCTTGTGACAGGAAGGCTGGGAGTCAATAGCGAGCAATGTCGTTGTAGTTGCATGTTAGCCGTCTGCTGGCACACACTCACAACGATGGCAATGACTTCTCCCTGCGGTGGGGTCGGAAGGGGCGGCCACGAGGGAGTAATGTAATGTTTGATAGTCGCAAAAGAGGATGGCTCGGTGTTTTTGATTTATCTCTCTCGAAGCAAAGTTATGGACTAGATATTTTAATACTGATCATCACCATTCAACATATCAAGCCCCCAGGATCTCTTCACGAGTTATACCCTTCATTTTGTGCTCAGCCCTGTAGGCCTCCAATACTGCGCTTCACGTCCCATTGTTCATCCAGGAACTGAAACACCTTCTGCTGGAGAAGACGCCACGCACCAACCTTGCCCTGCAACCCCCCATCCCCCGCCTCCCTTGCAATCCAGAGATGCCGCCTCTCGTCGGGCAAATGATCCAATGCCTGCGCGATTCTCAATGTACTGATCTCCGGCGCAGTGTAAATAGTCTGCGCTGCCCCACTAATCATCACCGGACATTCCACTAGACGAAGATACTCTCCCGCTTTCCCGTCCCCCTTCAACGAATACCGCTGCATCTCGCGCATCGCCGCCGCCGGGGAGTCCTTCCCAAAGATCCACATGACATGGGTCAGCTCCCACTTGAGCTGGAAATTCCACCGCGACAACATGCGCCACGTGGCATCGAACGCCCCGTCGGTGATCCAGCCCGCGAGCCAGGCGCGGATGAACCACGGGGGCATGCGCGACGTCGCCAGGTCGAACATGTCGTAGAATGGATCGATGGCAATGCACGCGGCGACGCGCGGGTCCACGGCGCCGCGCAGGGCATAGTACGCCCCCATGGACACCCCGGCAAGGGCGATCCGCGAGAGGTCCAGGCGCCACTCGGGATGCACGCGAGCCAGGTGCTCGACGTAGTCCAGAACCGGCCTCGTCACCTGCTCCCAGTCTGGGCGCATGGCAGTCCCCGTCTCGCGCAAGCTGGCTCCTTGCCCCGGCCCGTCGACCAACAGCACCGCGTATCCGCGCTGGCATCCACTCGCCCCGTAGAGCAGATACAGTTCCTCCGAGGTCGAGTCCGCGCCGTTGATACACACCACCACCGGAACCGTCGCCCCGGGTTCCTGCCGCGCGGTCTCCCCGCCCTGGAGCGGCGGGAGGAAGAGATACCCCGGCAAATGGCCCTCGCGGTACGGCACCTGGAGGATGTGCGTGCGATGGCCCAAGAGGGGAGTCGCGCTGTGAAACGCCTGGACGCTCCGGGCGAAGAGCTCGCGAACGCGCGGCTCTGGACTCTCGCGCCGGTCGTCGAACATGTATTGGCTGGCGCGGAAGTAGTTGGCAGCGCGCAGAAAGGCGTCGCGCGCCGCGTGGCGATCGCCATGCTCCGCCGCCTCGAGGGCGATGGCGTGCGCCTTTTCGGCCTGGACCAGCCAGCCGCGGTGCCAGCTCTCCGCATCATCGCCGGTAATCTGCGTGGCCGCGTCGAGGCATTCCGCGAGCTCGGCGCCTCCGAAGGGGATGGTGCCGACTACCCGCGTGAATTCGAAGTTGAAGAAGGAGGACGAGGGGAAGAATTGGTGCATCTTGAGGGCATAGGGCTGTATGCGAGAGGGGATCGGTACTAGGAGGGCCTGTTCACTCGAATAGGTTGCGTCATGGATTGACTCGCTCTTGTATCGGAGACATTTTGCATAAGCGTAGGGCCGAGTCGGGGAAGGACTATCGGACTGGAATGATAGTATCACTTGCTCGGTTACTTACAATCGCCTTTCTCTGTCGGAGGTATTCCAATGTCGGAGAACCTTGACAGTTGAGCTTTGCTTTATAAACCGAAAGGTGTTCAGCCTCGTCCTGTCACACCATCATCCACTCGTTACCGTCGCTATCCGGCTGTCATCTGTATCTCAAACAACGCCCACGAACGCGCAAGCGAACATGTCTGAAACCGAATACAAAAAGGTCCTCCGCCTCGCAGGGTCTTACTACAAACTCCCCGAGGTCTCCGAGGAAGACTTCCACGCATTCATTTCCAGCGATCACGCCGTCAAGGCGGCCAAGATCCACGAGAAATATGGGATTCTCCACTACCAACTGGTGCGTACTGATTGCCCACAACGAGCTCCCTAGCACAACGCTTATCATTATGTAGGCGATCGGAACCAGCCACACCCGCGAGCTGGCTCACGGGCTGCAGCTCCCCTGGAAGATCGACGACCACGACGTGACCATTGAATACTACTTCACCGACGTGGCGGCTCTGCTGGCTGTGTCGGCGGACGAGGAATTCAAGACCCTGCACGTCGATGCAGAGAAGTTCGTGCGCCTGGACGCGACCACGGTGGCTGTCACCTGGGTGGAGGTCTTTCTGAAGGATGGGAAGCTGGTCAACGTTGGGCCGGATGGGCAGTCCCTGCACCCGCCCTTTGCGGAACGCATTGCCTTTGCGTTGCCCGAGAAGCCGGCGGCCAAGTATTATTAGCTGCTGTTCGTGAGATGGGTAAGGGCTGAGGGGAGGTTGAAGACACGATTTAGTGAAATGAGAAATCACATTTTTATACCTTCTGAGTTGCATGTTGTCAAGCCCTATCTTATGTATTCGTTATGCATCCCGTGCGAGTCAATTCGGATGGTTGGCACTGAACCTGAGATCAATCCTGAGAGCAGCTTTGGTCATAACACAGATATCTATGGATATACTCCATGTTAAAGAGAAAGGAGATAAGAAGGTCATTTCATTTTTCAACCAAAAGAGGGCCAAAATACCCTTAGGATGATTGCTGAAAAGCGAGCCCACTCTAAAGACTAGATCTCCGTCTGACTCGGATCAACAATATACACCAACTTCTCGCCGGACACTTCCTTCGCTTGTAGCAAAGCCAGGCCCTGAGGAAGATCCTCCCAGGCTTCGTCCATGATCCGGACCGGATGGGGTCTCAACTCGTGCTGCCGCAGCATCCGCTCGACGATCTCGAACATCTTCCGACCCAGAACCCGATGGTTGGGGTTGGCCTCCCGGCCGTAGCCCTTGTCGAGGGCGATCTGCTTGCCGAAGATGCTCAGTGCCAGCACCCAGTCCATGGAGACAGCCTTACGCGACCGTAACTCCTCGGAAAACGCCTCGAGCCCGCAGTACTTGCCCCCCGCGCGCCCGGTACTCCTCAGGCAGACGTCGACGGTGCTCGGCTCGGTGATGCAGTCCAGAACATAGCGGAGGGTGTTTCTGGTGTAGCTCCGAATCTGCGCGGCACAGTCCTCGGTGTGGTAGTCGAAGACGGCCACCGCACCGTAGGAGCGAACGAGACTCGCATTCTTGGGCGAACAGGTAGCGATCGGGCGATACCCAGCTCTGCGGATGATATCATGGTCAGTGTCACATCTACAACCTCGACAACCGACTGGCAGGGGCCTGGTACCGGCGTAGAAACTGCAGGGCCATCGTCCCCGTGGCGGTGCTGCCCCCATAGACCAGCACAAACTCCTCTTCCTTCGGCTCGTTGGGAGCTGCATCTGCATCGGCATCGATCGAGAGCCCCAGCTGATCTCCGAGCGCCAACACCATGGTCGCTGGCCCCGCGCCGCCGATCGCCGCGGCATCGGTCAGGGCCAGGTCCGGCGGCACGAGGGCCAGAATGTCCGCGGTGGCGCCGACGTACTCGGCAAAGGCGCCCACCGCGGGGTCGTGGGGGTTGGCCCCATGCACGCCACCGCACACGCGGTCCCCAACCTTGAATCGCTCGGTCGCTGCATCCCCGACGGCCACGACCGTGCCAGCAAAATCACAACCGGAAATCGCACCGGGGGTCGGGAAGTTCGCGACCATTTTGTGGTCCGTCGGGTTCAGCGCCACCGCGGCCGTGCGCACCAGCACCATGTCCGGGGCTAGAGGGGGGATGGGCGCGTCGCGCACGTGGCCCAGTTGACCATTGGGCAGGCATACAATCGCGCTTTGCACGCGGGGGATGGTGAAGGACTGTGTGGGTTCGCGGAGTTTGTAGCCCATTGTATGTATCTGGCTGGGGTGGTTGCAGTTGAGATGCAGTTATGAGTCGATCAAGTCGAAAGACTTAGGCTCGTGGGCTAATCAGAACAATATAGACCACCATATGACTCTTCAAACATGAAGATGGCCGTTTCTGCCTCATATTGAGGTTTCGACCTCCCCGGGCATGCAAAATGTCTCCGGGATAGTGGGGTTGCCTCCCCGAACATGCCCGGAAAGTCCGCGAATCCGCCCCGAACTTATTCAGCGGACGGAACCGGACTCCTGCCCTAACAGCCACCTACACGCTCTGATTGTCGAGCATTTTCTGAACTTGCGATACGACTACCCAACACAGTGCTGGTGCAAACCGACCCCATGGCGTCTGAAACGTTTTACCAGTTCAGCCCCTTGGACAGTGTGTACACCCGATTCTTGTGCCGGCTACTCAATCTTTCTGCTACTAACGCAGACTCGCACAGAAAGAGGAAAGTCTTATCCCCTGTCTACTTTGAGAGGCAAAGTCGTCCTTGTCGTGAACACTGCCTCGAAATGCAGTTTCACTCCGCAGTACCAAGAACTCGAGCATCTATACCGGCAAATCAACTCGGAGTACCCCAACGAGTTCGTCGTCCTCGGATTTCCTTGCAATCAGTTCGGCAGCCAGGACCCCGGCACCAACGACGAGATCCAGACCTTCTGTCAGGTGAACTACGGAGTGAGCTTTCCGGTCCTGGGCAAGGTCGAGGTGAATGGTCCAAATGCCGATCCCTTGTGGTCGTGGATGAAGAACAGGCAACCGGGGATTCTTGGGTTGACGCGCATCAAGTGGAATTTTGAGAAGTTCCTCATCACGGTTGACGGACAGGTTGCGGGGCGTTGGTGGAGCATGGTGAAGCCACAGTCGTTGTCCGACACCATTGTTCGCGAGATAGAGGCGGGGAGAGATCGACGTTGATATGGACTATCGGCCCTTGAAATAACGTTGTTGAATTGACTGTAGTAGTTTGGATATGCATGTTCTAGGTCTGTGACCCCGTGAATCGACCATTCCTCATCCCGCCACCAATAACATGGAGCCTTAGGGCTCAAGAAGCATACGAAGAATAATGGTTGTCTCGGAGACTTTCTCCTGGGCTGTACTATACTTTCCCCGATCATCTCCGACATCGTATGACACATAATCCTTGTTAAAGCCACGGGAACCCGTGCTTGGTCGCTTTGAACTAGCTCATTATCCATACTTAGTACTGTACCTTCGCAGGACATCTTGATATATCAATCATTCCCGCCGAACCATCTCAATTCCAATCCCCCCAAGATGGCTTCCCCGATATTCTTTGGACCCCTGATTGCACTCCGTCTCGCCCCTCTCGTAAGCTCAACCTGCAGCCTCTGGTTCGCTTGGGACCAGAACCTCTTCCTGCGCACCTTCGTGCACCCCGCCAACCGCGCCGCCAGCGATCGCTCCCTCCCCACCTACTTCCGGACCTTTTTCCGCAGCGGTGTGACCTGGGTCCTCGTCCTCCTGGGCTTCTCACTTGCGACGGCCGGCATGAACCTCGTCACCGACCGGGCCTCGCTGGCCCAACGGCAGTCCCTGCGGTGGTACGTCGCCGGCGCCGCCCTGACCGCCGGGCATGCCCTTTACGCGCCCGTCGTCGCGCCCATCGTGCGCGCGATCACCGATGACCACTCCAAGGGCCACTCCACGCGCGACCTGGAGCGGTGGCTGTGGTGGAACTTCCTTCGCATGTTGACCGTGGATCTGGGGGCGTGGGTGTGCTTTGGGGTGGGGGCTATCCAAGCACTCAACTGAGAACCATCGCCTGTCGTCCAGGTGTCGCTGGGGAGGGAAATGAGCACTTAGGATTACCTACTGGGTCACTCTGTCACTTCAAATCCCGCACCCAGTTACGACCGGATGATGGAGAAGCCTCGATTGCTCTTTTTTGACGATTAGTCGTTTTCACGCGATCCCCCTGCCATCTCACTCTCTTGCTTCTCTTGCTTGCTTTCCCACTTGCCGCATCCCCTGCAATGTCTGTAGTGAAAGTATATTTCTGAGGATGCGCAAATAGACCCGTGACAGTCTAGTCGATTGGCTACCCCACACTGACATCTTCCGATCAACCTATCAAAGATACTGCATCCTGTAGCGTTAACTCGGATTGAAAGCAACAGCTTCGTCGTTCCGAAACCACCACTATATATCGCGGGCTCGGTAAGTTAAGGTTTTGATGTAAGGAGATCTACCTGGAGGCTTGGATATTTATGGATAGACCTCTCAAGATTTCTGCAGTTCTCGAGGCCGAGTAACTAGTATTAGCCCTCAGAGTCTTCATCAGAGTCTTATCTCCCCAGCGATGGTCGTGCATCACAATTAGGGCTCCTAAGAGACCAGCTGTTGATACGTAAGTATACCAGAACTTACCATCGGGTATGACTTTATCATGTATTGACTTACAGAGGATGAATCCATGAAGTATATTATATACTGTACCACTGGTGTCATTTCAACCCGCAGCACATTATAAGTTACTGCTGTGCATACCTAGTAATATTTTCTACTATCAGAAACACAAACTGTTGTGGAGAGGCCTAGCCTCCCATTGGTCAGGCAGCTCACCGCCTCGGCCGCCCTTTGATAGATACCTGTTCCTCAGATAGCCTGAAATCCATTCGTCTTTCACGCCTCCTCAACTATACATTGATCAATACACTGGATCCTCTTTATAGCGACTTGGTATTGCAAATATAGGTGGGATTTTAGTATAGAAGGCGGGGACTCCCAGCACAAGAAGCTCGGTACGTGGAGAAATCTATTTTATAAATGTTTGTTATAGCAAGGGTCTACATAGAGTAGAGAGTTTGGAGATCTTAATCATCTTTCAATATAAGAAGGAAGCTTTCTAGCTACTCGCGTGTGCCAAGCCTAATGTGAGGCAGGGCTAGCGATGAGTGGGCAAAAGGTGTTTGCTCGTGTGATCTGCGGTGTATACAAAACCCCCACGCTCGGCAGCACTATCAACCTCGACCTAACAGCAGTGAACAACGCCGGCCTCAAGTCTGCGAAGGCAACTGACACAATAGCAGAAGATCAGATGGGACTGAGACCGCGATCGAAGGCCATGAGCACCTGGCGCAATTGATCGATTTCAAAAAGCAAACATACTGTGGAGAGTCCGCGCCAATTGAAAGCTGATATAAACACTAGATTCCTGGAACTAATGCACAAGCCCCGGGTACGGCTGAGCCAATTTACAATTAGTTATATTGATGTAATATCAAGCTGTACTCTGGTCCATATGGCAGCGTCTTGGCCCTGGCCGTGGGTGAAGGCTGGGTGGAAGGCACCAGACTTTTACTAGAGGAGGGGGGTGCGGATGTCGATCTGGTCCTGGCGAACGGAGAGTTCAGCAGCGCTTTAGTCGCGGCCACACGGCGCTCGAGACTCAATGAAGAGGCCCGGGAAGTCATGAAGTATTTTGTTGAGGTCCAAAAAGCCAGTGTCAATCTCTCTCTCCACGATGGTCGATACGGTAGTGCCCGAGCTGCTGCCGTTGATGCAGGTGACCTGACGGCCGTTCAGTATCTGGTCGAGGTCGGAATGGCCGACATCAATATGCCGCTGCCAGACTCCCCCAAAGGCAGTGCATTAGCCAGAGCGGCGAACCTGGTCAGCGAACCTGCCAGGATAGCGAAATCGACCGGTGATCTCCTTCATGCTACAGAGCAGCCTCAGCGGATCCGTGTTTTGCATTTTCTGCTCGCAGCCGGGGCCCGGGTTATTCTTGACCTTGGCAATAAGAGGACCGCGGATGCCTGGGAGGCTTTTTGCGAAAAATTCAGTTTTAGAAGCTCAATATCCACCGGCTACGAACTTCACGCTGGGATTTGTGAGAGCATTTCCGAACATATGATGGAACAAGCTAGCGAGCTCGACTATGACATCCTGCTCCACGAAACGTCTTGAAGGACTAGCCCAGAACATTGAGCGTGAGATAGATGAACTTAAATCTCCTCTCCACGCTAGAAAGTCTCAGGCATATAAGTGATCATAATAGTTTAGTTGATTCTTTGCCTTCCTCTGCGTTCATCCTCCCCTTGTCTCTTTTTTGTATTCTCCTTTCTTTTGCTAGTATAGGCACGAGCTTCAGAATGTGAATCGCAAGTCAAGGACTACTTAAATACAAGCAGCGGCTACTTAACTGAAGCACAATTGGATACGATTCCCAACAATCCTGTCAAGTGCTGATATATCTTCTGCAGATTAACTCTGCTTCAGGTGTTGTATATTTGTGTACCCTGTCCATATGAAGCCCATTTTTGACAAAGTCTTACTTCGCCCGGATGTGCTTGTGATTGTGCATCGCTACGCTATATACCGTCCAGTGGCAAATGCATCACTGAAATGCACACCGCCACTTGATCCAAATACGCAAAGGTGAGGTTGTATTAAAGGTGCCGTAGAGTATACCACTTTGCTTGCGGACTTGGATTGTAGGTATGATTGCGCTAGTATGTTTACTCATAGCTCTGAGAGCCGGACGTCTGGTAGTTACAGGACGGGTTGATTACGAAGGGATTGACCACGCTGACTGATCATCTAGAACAAAGATGCAATCGCTTACTCAGCCTGGGCGACGTTGTGTCCACGAGATCAGTTGAGATGCAAGTCGAATCCAGCTTGCCGAGTATCCGACGTCGGAAAGTGCAAAGATTATATTGGTTCAAGAACAGAGGCGTTGCCGAGCCCAGCGTTCATCATTTTGAGTACGATACAGACTGGAGAGCTTCGCACACAAGGTCACATAAGCCCATAGTAGAACAATCCAGCAGCCACTATAGGAGCCAGGAAGTAAATCAAAACTTTCCACGCCAGAAGTTTCATCCCCCTCATTAGCACAAGCTGAACCTTCTCATCGAGCCACTTCTTCTCATTGATGTGCGGGAAGGGCTTGTCCGGCACGGGCTTTCCCAGAAACTCACACAGTGGCTCCCAGCCATCAGACAAGTTGAACTCCAGCAGACGATCCTTGGGCGTCACCCGCCGCACGAGCGCGTAGTGCTCGCGGTACTTGGCCTTGCTCTTGAGGGGCGCGTCTTCTGGGCCCGAGATGCCCGCCCACCCCTTGAAGGTGGTCTTGTGGATATTGCCGATTGGACGTGTGAAGAACCGATCAATATGACACACGAGTGTGACGACCGGGGAATACGTGTTCTTGATCACCGTGTCCATCCAGCTCTGGTACCAGGAGTCGATGTCCCGCTCCACGAGCACGACCTTTGCCTCTGGATACGCCTCCACCAGGTCCTCTGCAAAGGCGATCGCCGGGGTGTCGGACGAGACCGCCCCGTAGTCGTGCAGTAGCTGGTCGAACTCCGCACGCCCGAACTTGGGTCCTGCCCCAAAGAACTTCCGGTCCACGGCCTCCTGCCACATCTCGATGTCGCCGAACCGCGTCGACAGGAACTGTGTGGAGTGCCAGCAGGGCAGGCCCAGGGTCTCGAGGGCACTGCACATGGCTGGCTCAGTTCATCAGCATGTTGGTGTCTCTAGGTAGTGGCAGTTGTGCTTACACGCCGTGCCTGTCCGATTGAAGCCCAGACAGAGACATTCCAAAGGAACGGTTCGCTTCTTGCCTCGGGGCGACTCGTTGCTCACGGGTCTGAAGAGCTCGGGGTGTCTTTCTTCTAAAGTTGCCATCTGTGTGATGAATGATAGCGTCACCGCTGCAGAGGTATGAGTGCGAGTGAGAGAACATCGAGAGAAGCCAAGGGGAGTTATTCTACGATGATGTCGATCCCGCGTCCTTGGCGGTGAGAGTGACAGGCCTGCCAAGGCGGGGCGCAGGCAGTCTGTGGGTTGGTTAGTGCTTAGTAGCCTTGCCATGGTGCTTATCAGAATGGTCTTAGTGCTTACGCGCACAGGATTAGTGCTGACGTGGACACGCATGTACAGCCTCAATGGAGCCAAAGCTGCACTGCGCATGGTGTAGTGACCTATAGTTTCTCTATCTCATCATCTATAGTTCTCTTCTGCTTGAAATCTGCTGCATCAGGAACCTTCTTACTGTGATCTGTCACCCTCCAAGCCTAGATTGGGCTCTGAGAAGGTTGGTCACAAGATGGAACACGTGTTTTTATAGGGTTTGCAAGTTGTAGGAAAGATTCCTATACGTTGTACTTAATGGTGCCGACACACTTAGATTGTGCACAGAGTAGAACTCCATAAGCATAAAAAAACGGAGACCTCACTCACTTCTTCAAGCACTGCCTCGCCCACTCCACGATCTTCGGACCAACCTCATCACCCGGCAGCCCAATAGACAAACAGTAGCTGACATGGTTGTGTCCTGACAGTACCTCAAACCGCGGAACACGGCGCCGCTGCTTATTGTAAGCCTGCAGGAAATCCAAATTACCTCGGACACACTCCTCGAAATCCCACTCCGCCAGCAGAAGAAAAAGGTCAGGCGCTGTCCCTCCAGCTTCATCGTCCTCGTGGGACACTTTCTTGAAAGCCCCAAGAGCCGAATGAGCGTGGATAAACTCATGGTCATTCGTTCCATAGTACGCCTCCATGCTTCTGCGCCGATCCTCCTTCCCCAGATCATACTCCAACGCGGCGCTTAGGAGCAAAACCCCACGCACCAGGTTCCGGCCTTCGTCGGAAATGAGCCTCCCCGCGCATAGAGCCATGGCCAGGTGGCCACCGCCGGCACTTTGCCCGAGCGCGAAAATGGAGTTGCGGTCGCCTCCGTATTGGTGAATATGGTCATGCAGCCATGTTAGGGCAGCGGCAACGTCGTTCCGGCCGTCTGGAAACCGAGCGTCGGGTAGGAGGCGATATGTTCCAAGGACTCCGATCATGCCGTTGTCGGCGAAGAATTTTCCTGGGAATTGATTCATCAGATCTTATCAAAGAGCTGGACTATGCGTTAAAGTAACGAGCGCAACGAAGGCCGCGCGACATGGTTGGGAGCTTACCGATGTTGGCATGCAGGTGCGGCGTGATAGTATTATCGCCCGCTTTGAACGCACCGCCGTGGAAGTAGACGACAACGGGGAGGGTCGCGTTTGTCGTGGATGCATTGGTGGGCCAGAAGATCTATCATAAACTCGTCAGCCACGAATCTTGCGACTGGTCGAGATCTACAGTCGTTCACTGGACGTTTCGAGTAGCCTTGCACATACATCCAACCGGTGTCGCGGATTCGGCCCGTACTTGACATCTTTCTCACATGCGATCGATGGCTCCGCATCCGGAGGAGGAAGGGATGCATGGCAGGTCTCGAAGAACCGCTCGCACGCTGCATTCACAGACGGGTCCCAGCGGCTTTTGAACCCATGGATGAAGTCCTGGATCTCGGGTGACAGTGGCATGTTCTCTCAGAGAGCCCGGCAGCCGTATGATAAATCAGGGTCGGACTTGGTTCCGATGTTCCTAACTGGGTGTAATACTAGCGTCACAGTCAGTCAAAGCTTTGGAGAAAGGGACAGAACAGGATTGAGGTGCAGAGGCTGACAGGGTAAGCACAGGTGTGGGGTTGAGACTTGGCTGTCAGCAGGATTAGCCGAGGCTGATCCCCGCCCTTGGCCGGCATATCCGAGGTGTTCCTGGTAGGACCACCTTACACATATTGTGCTGTGTGAGAGGCAAATACCTTGTTGCTGTTCGAGGCCCTTTAGATGACTCTTCATTTAGTCTCAGCGTGCGATGTGTTGATTGTCATTCGACAGTGCACCTTCTACGTCAAGGAATTGGGGCCGACTGGTAGGAATAAGCCGGATGAACATAGCCATTTTCCACAGGGAAAGAGTTGCTATTCCTCATCTATTTCCCTGGACTGTATCACTACCCTTCTAGACTGAGTTGAATAAAATCTTCTTACAATGTGAAAAGTCATATGCTTGCTATTTAGCAAGCGGAATTACCTTAACTGCACCGTGCTATAATAGAGGGTGTGATTTTCCTTCCGTTTATGCATGACATCTCCAAGGAACGCATCATGGTCGAGTCGTTCACAATCTTCATGACCACCTGGATGTTGGTCACTCTTGCTATCACATGCGATTTCGAATAATCTGTCTCTATTATTGCCCCGAATTACCTACCTCAGGTCCAGACTGGGCATTCCATCGAGCGGTCGGCCTGAAGCTCTTCAGCCCTTGAAGGGGCTATGGTATGACAGTTGGCTTCCATTCAGAGACCCATTTGTTTTTGGGTGATTGGATACAGATTACGATCAACGCACAAGAACTTGATATACATCATGAGCAGGTTGGTGTTCGCAGTGCTGCACCGACGCGGGAATTTGAAGCAGTAGTGTCAGCGCATCTCGTGGGCTTCGAGATATATGTTCTGGTAAGGGTTGTGGTACTGCTGCCGCTGCTGCTGATACGGGCGATAATCCTGCCCGCCGTGAACCCGCGGAGGAGAAGGGCACATGAGTAAAGGTGCGTGGTCGGATACATCCGAACGTTTGCCAACGGCAACCGGTCTATAGCTGTAAGCGCTGTCTGCCGCACCCACAGGACCCATGGTTCGGGGCGGTTCACGCCGCGCTTTGTCGCCCCGAAAACAGCAGCAATTGAGGAGCCATGATACCGCCGCTAAGAGGGACAATGCGACCGCCAGCCAGGTGGCTGCGTAGAGGTGCCGACCCATGTGACCGTAGATTCCGTAGGACTTGAAGGTCAGTTTGAATGTGCCCGCAAGGGTGGCGAAAAGCGTCGTGGAGGTGATGGATGCGGCGAGAGTAAACAGGAGGGAGACTGCCGTGAGAAGCCAGGCGAAGCAGCCTCCCAGCCGACTGCAGCAGGCCAGAAGGCCAACCAACAGCTGGACGATACTGGTGCAGATGGCAAGTAGGTAAAGGATCTGCATCCATAGGGAAGCTCTCTGATAGATATCCAGCGTCTGTTGCAACCGATTAGGGACATGCTTCTCTATTTGGGTTTGATTCAAATCCCAGATTTCGATCGGGTTAAACCAAAATCCACCGCGGGGCTTCGAGCAGTAGGTTGTGTTGTAGACTCCAATATGGGGATTGTTGCCAGCACAGTAGTTCCACAGTCCGATGGAGTAAAAATCGTGCAAGGTTTCTGATTGATTCGCCTCCTGCAAGGCTTGCACAAATTGCTTCACATAGCTGCCAGTGAGATCCTGAAGGGTGGTATCAAGGATAGAGCTTGGAGAGGTTGTAAGGTTTTTGAGTTCGATCTATAAACCTCGTCAATTGGTTTCTCTCATGCCCTGCGAGACAAAATTGACCTACTCGAAACATATAGAGATCCTTAGCCTGCTTGGGATTTGTGCAACCAATCGCAACAATGATAAGGCATATCAGAGAGCCAATGCTTAGGAGACTCGACCCCAGGACGCATGCAAATTTCCCAAGTTGACCCATATTCTTGTATATTGTTAAGCAGTTTTTGCCGGGCTCAAGGACAAATGGCAAAGATCTCAGGAGCAGTTGCCTGTTATGTGTAGAGAGAACGCTAATGGCATGGCTTACATATATATAGCATGAACATAACTCTGTGGGAGTCTGTCCCAGGGGAAAGCGAATTTTACGAGATCTCACCGGGCAACCTCCTCATATCGAGGGGAATTCTCATCCGCACTCTTTTCCCCATGTCCTAAAACGAGGAGCCTTCATTAATTTGCGTTACATGAGCCTGGTGGTAAGGGTACTTGACTTTTCAACTATGAGCGCTGGGATCCACACAGATCAGAGGCAAGTGTTGTCTATACAATAGCTCATATCCATAGCGTCAAATTTCATGGATCCACATTTTCGCCGAGTAAAGTCCAAATATTGGCCTTGCAGCCGATTCGGTGGAAGATTGTTGGCTCCTGGAGACCCGTGGGTTCAGTTCTTTGAGTGGAGACGGGCATGATGCTTGGCAACGGGTATGGAATTATCGCGAACACGAATATCCCTGTATGGAAAACCTGCCCGCCAAATCAGGAAGCCAAGTCGAGGCCTCAGGTCCAAGTCGAGCATAGCCGAAAGTCGTCCCGGGTAGCAATGATCCGCCACTGCCGATCCAGTGCAATGGTAAGTAGTTCGCATTCGTATCCTATGCAAGGGAAGGATTCCCTGAGATGAGATGAGAGAACAGATTCATGACGGTCATGCGTGCATTTCTCGATAAAAAGAAGTAGACGTTCCGGGCGTTGAGTTCAGTAAAAATCACATAACCTTGACCTTTCAAAGCCTCCGGGTTGTATATTCACAGAGATTTCAGTGATCCCACTGCCCTAGATTTTACAATTTTAAAATTCCACATTCAGAGATGAATCTCACTTGTTCGCCCTCGGCGATTCAACCCCCAGCCGTCTACGGCGCAGAAATCCTCAACCTGTCAGCCGCCTGGGTCACCAACTACACGCGCACCGCCCCGGCCACATCCAACTACAACCACGGTGACGTCGAATTGCGCAATGCAGAGTTCTGCAACATCACCGTCACATACACGCACCCGGGGTACGACGACCGCATCACCGTGGAGACCTGGCTCCCGCGCCACGGCTGGAACGGCCGCCTGCAAGCCACCGGCGGCGGAGGCTGGCAGGCCGGTCGCTTCGTGCTGTCCCAGTTCTTCATGGGCGGGGCGATCGGCGAAGGATACGCCGCGACGACTACCGACGCGGGACTGGGCGATGCGGCCTTCCCAACTTCATGGGCACTCAAAAGCCCCGGCAACGTCGACTACGCGGCGCTGCATAATCTGGGTTCCCGCTCTTTGAACGACCAAGCAGTCATCGGCAAGAGCCTGATCCGCAGCTTCTACGGACGGGACCCGGACTATTCCTACTGGAGTGGCTGCTCCCAGGGCGGGCGACAGGGACTGATGCTAGCACAGCGGTACCCAACAGCGTACGACGGCATCGCGGCGTCCGCGCCCGCGCAGTCCTGGACCAAGTTTGTCTCCGCTGTTGATGAAGGAGTGGCGTGGGGTTCATCCGTTGGCGTGCGAGTTGAATTTCCTGACGGCGGAGGCTATCACCCACTGTGATCCCAAGGATGGGGTTGTAGACGGGATTATCTCCAACATGACGGCGTGCGATTACAGCCGTATACCTCCGTCAACCAGACATTTCACTGCTCCACCCTCAATCGAACAATTGCGCTTAGCGAAGGTGCTGCGATCATCGCCGACGCCGCCTGGTCCGGCCCGCGGACGCAGGATGGCAAATTCCTCTGGTACGGGGTGAATCCCGGCTCCGACATCAGCAGCTATGGCTCCGTGCCCGGCCAGAACAGCACCCAGGCGGATGTCTGGTTCAACCTGTTTGTTGCCAAGAACGCCAGCTTCGAGACGAGCAAGATGACTCGCGCGAAGTACGAGCGGGCCTTCCACCTCGCCAGCCAGGAGTATACCGATTTCATGAACGCCGCTGATCCCGACCTGAGCGAGTTCCGCAACGCGGGCGGGAAGCTCATCACTTATCATGGCATGGTATGTCTATACCGTTTGCTACTCGAAAAGAAGAGAAGATCTAACACTGGACTCAAACACAGGCCGACCCCAGTATCCCGACCAAGGACACCGAGTTCTACTACAACGCGGTGACGGATCTCTTCCCCGATGTCCAGGAATTCTATCGCTTCTTCGAGGCGCCCGGGTTGGGGCATTGCTCGGGCGGTGTGGGCGGGCAGCCCACCACTACGTTTGATGCCCTAAGACTGTGGGTGGAGAACGGGACAGTCCCTGAGACTCTGCCTGTGGAGTACGCAGGATCCGATGGGGCGAAGCAGTCGCGCATCCTGTGTCCTTATCCTGCTCAGGCGAAGTATATGGGAGGCGATGCATCTACTGCGGAGAGTTTCCGCTGTGTCTAGACTGAGGCCGATGGTGCTTACCGTATTTTGTAATTGATTAAAGTGCAAAGTTTCGGCCTTGCGCGCTGGGAGGAAGGGGGTCTTTTTTGTTCTCGAGCATGTATTACCAGAACAGACAATGCAATTCTATATCGCTATGCGAACAGACCACATGATTAAGTTTCAGCAATACCCCGACGTACTATAGTAGGGAGTAAGGTCGGTCGTTGTTCCCAGGACTTGTTCCGGATCACCGATTCCAAGCTGGTCGAGCGGCCATTGCACAAACGGTCGGAATGCAGCATCGAGCTTCCGGTAAACACCCGTGACAATATGTTACGGCCAGTGGTGAATAAACCAGACAGCATCCAGCTGGTGTAGAAGAACACAAAAGAACGAGAAGAGGATGAGAGCGATCGGCTCTTGCTCCCGCAGATCGTGTACCAAATCATCTGGTAATTGGTACAGCCATGCGAAAATATGCGCTAACAGAGACATCCCGGGTGAACGGGGACCGGGACCCAGAACAGCAGCAAGACAGTAGTGAAGGTGATTCAACATCCGTTGATAGCTGGGAGAGCGAGGGTTCGAGTCAGGCACATAAATAGCTAGAAGCTGGCGCAGCGAGTTGAGTTGGTATTCGTAATTGTGGGACTCTGCACCAATAGCAGGGTCCCGGCTGGCCTGGTCGCCACCTTCGGGTGTATCCGAATCAGGGCTTTCGTCCCCGGAAATGGCGAAAACGTCGGTCGGGATGTCATTTTGGCAAAGCTCTAGAATAGAGCGGACACCTAGAAATAGCCCCAAGTATCCAGACCCGCCATCATCCCGGAAGGCCAGGTACTCGCCCGGCTGCGGCCCCTTGGCCAAGGAGGAGAGAAAGATGAAAATTGCGGACGCGTACATCGCAGGCGCATTCTCGGGATTGATTTGCGGGACCAGCGCCGTGACCTCCTGCACCGCCGTCTCCAGGTGACGGTCGGCCTCAGCAAAGTAGTCTGTAGCCGTGCCCATGTACTGGACCATTGGATTGCCCTCTGATTTCCGCACCAGATGGAATCCGGCGAAGGCTAGCAGTAGGCGCAGAACATAGTGATGAGAGAAACCTAGCCGGCAGAGTTGCTGCTGAGCGCGGGGTTGGACGGCGGTTAGCTCGTTAGAAGTCAGGAAATGATGAAAGAGCGCCATGTCGGTAGCTGTGAATTCGAATGGCCTCTTCGCAATTTCATGCGAGGGGGGAGCAGAATGGTAGGGCGCAGATGCCGAGGTGCGTGAAGGGCCATGTGCTCGCGTGGGCGGCCTGAAGTTCGTCGGGGTGGATGAGATGTAGGTGTAGTCGCCATCGGCTTTGCCAGAAGAAGTCGAGGTTGAGGAACTAATCTCAGTCGGCGAGCTGCTGGCAGCTCTGGGTTGTGAGCTGTAATCACAATCGATTGCGTGACGTATGCAATTGGTACAATGCGGTTTGATCTCATCGCACTGTGAGAAGGTCGATTAGTGACTGACTGCCTGAGGCAGAGGATAGCTTGAGACAGCCACCAACCTTGATCCTTCGCCGCTTACAGTTGCGGCACCCATAGCGAGACTTTCGATGGGTTTTTCGCGCAAGCTTTTGCGTATATGGTGTAATTGAGGGGGGCCTGCCCATGTCGCTAACAATGGTGGCTGAGGGGAAAAGCAGAAAGGGTGTGATTGTTGAGTCTGTGGCTCGGCCTTATGCTGTGCCAGGAAAAACAGGGGCACAATTCCATCACATGCGACAGACATATCGACATCTAAGCGTTACGGCATGCAGCAGCAGCCGCGATGCAGAAAGTCTAGAAAAAGTTAAAAATCGCCTTGGTTTCAGGGTCGCGGCCCTAAGGGTCAATTCCCTGGTTTCATTTGCGCAACCTGCGCTTGCTCCACTACCTTAGTACCGCTCATATTTTTGATCCACTTTTAGTCCGTCCCGAGGCTTCAATGTAAAAAGGGAAACGTTCGAGAAGGCGGCGCCTTCCACAGACATTCCCATATTTGGCTCCTGTATGTCTCTCAAAATGACAACTATGACTAATCATTGCCTGAATTCAAAGTCTTCATGTTGGACTACACGATAAAGCATCAGCTTCTGTGACAAAATACCAGGAAGCCACCTTTCAAAGAACATAGCGGAGGCTGCATTATGGAATTCTTCTTGAAAAATGAGAATGCTTGTTCCTGCACTTGGGCAATTGTTTCCGCCCCAAACAGCCATCAAATTAGTACTAAATTCCCACGCAGAGAGGGTCAAAACAAAGGATATTGATGTTTTCTTTGCCTGATGGCAGCTTTCAGTGGTTTGGCCTGTTCCCCTAGTCTTTCCCACTCTGGTAGACACATAACCTTGTGTTTCTCGTCCGGAAACTCTACACGCTACCGGTGTAATCTACCGCTGGGAGGTCTTGAGGACATTGCACCTCTGATTTCCCTTGGCACCTCACCAGCCCTGTCTTGTCGAACTGAAATGAGCCACACAGCTTCCTTTGTGCAAGATCCCAATGAAGCCAATGATCTGCAGCCTTGGGTGGAGTTTATTCTAGCAATACAACCTACCAACTCCGCGTTTGAAGTCCCCTGAGAAAAGCCTACGCTAACGACTGCTGGGATCTGACTGGAGATTCTGACCGGGAAACTTATAAAAGGTCGTCGCCACCGATCGAGTAGCCACTACAGACTGTGCCGTCTTATCGATTCCTCTTGTCCTCTGCCTTTAAAAGCACGCAGCATGCAGTTTCTGAGTTGGCTTTTGACGCCCTTTACTAGGCCCTCTACGAATGAAGCTCCCGAGCACACTTGGGACCCCCAGACTGTGACGATGCAACAACCACTTTCTCCAGCTCCTCCCCAAGCTCTCGATGCTAATATGCTGGTATGAACAGCTCTCTCTCTTTTTTTTATTCGTAAAAGTGGTTATGTGGCGGACTAACCATGCTCAAGGCGACGACACATGAAGCAACAGAACTCAACTTACGTGGCGGTGGTGAAGCCGGGAATGTCTGCTGTGGCGTGTATGTTATCCATTTCTGCCTTTTTGGACTCGGCTAACAATGTTGGAAAATTATAGATGCTGTGGCCTGCTTTGCTTTGAGTGCTGCTGTGGCGGTGATGAATAGAGAGGCTCTGGACCAATCTCTTGATTCTCCTCTCGGTCGTCAAAGTGTTGATTGATTGTCCGAAAAGAGCGTCAAAAGCTCTAAATTTGAGGATGTTACACCGGCATCATCTCGATTCGTTCTTAGTAAACCTTTGTCATATTGATACCAATATTTAATACATAGCCGCGACTTCTTGCCAATTGGATCCTTGTATTATACAAGGTTGACCAGGGGAGCTCTATTTGACTGCTGAATTCCACCGCATTGCCTAGTATAAGTTTTGGCCATTGACGTATGGAGTCAAAGTTGAAATCTTACAGACGGACTGGGCACAACCGACCCCCCGGTACTTTTGGATCCACAAATCTTACATAACCAACGATCCGCTTTCCCGCTAATTTATACGAGTGCGGATTTCCTGTTCTAGACTGACGTCCCTCGAGCTTCCCACGGCTACTTCTGGAATAGAAACCCCCCCTGTACCTAAGTACTTATGCTAGTGGGCGACGGAAGGCGATTCTAGACAGCGATAACTCCTAGCCTGACTGTGACTAAATTACTAGCAGACAAAACAACGTAAGAAATTAATACCAAAATAGTCAGGACTGGGAATCCTCAGGCCTCCAGCTGCTACCGTATTCTTGCAGCCAATAGCGCCACTAAATCAGATGTCTTTAGATTCACGATCACTTAGAAAGCCGTGTTTCCGTCAACCTCAGGGTTCTCTTCAGAATATTCACGGCGAAATCGGTGAAGTATTGTTTTGGCTTGTAGGCAAGATCGATTCTCTCAGTAACTTAGGTGTTGGATGTTAGGGGCGGGCTAGTCCACCCGTGAGTCATCCGCTACTCCCCTTGGTGCCATGTTCTACTCGTACGAGGGGATCAACAAGCATTCAAACAAGCCGAGGGTTCTTGAATGATAAGTCATAGCCCGCGACCGGTTTCCTTCGGTAAAAAATAAAAAGTTCCCACGGTAGGGATGAATATATAACTCATGGATGGAAGGTCATTTTTCACAGAGCAACTTGTCTTCCTGGCTATCGATCCAGATGATCAATCAACATGTCACAGGTATACTAGACACCCCATGATTGTCCAAATTGACTGCAGTTCATTAAAATATCTTCTCGGCTTACAATGCACACAAGATACGATAGTACGGCTGGATTCACTATTACTAATACTCTATAGACATCCCATCACATCTCGGCGCTTCCCTGATCCCCACATGAATCATCCCCGGGACTAGAGTTATATATAGTCTACAAGTTGGCTTAATGCATTCCAAAAGGTACCACTTTGCAACTCCTCACAGTGTGACCGTGTCATCACCACTTACTGCGTTTCTGGTCATTACAGTCTACCGTTTATGGGGACTCTCCGTCTTCCCCCACCTCCATATTCCTTACATAAATCAACTACCTCGCCATTTCATTCAACTTGACGTCTTTGCTACGCCTTCGCGTAGATGACAGACCGGGAAATGTGCACTATTTGTGAGGTTCTTCAGTCCACGGGCAGGCGTTTTGCCTACGAAAAAAAAAGGATAGGAAGTCAGGAACATCGCCCCATTGACGAGCTTTCTCACATTCTATACATTATGCACAACACCAAGACGGGAGAAATGCAGGTAAATCCCCCGGCAAAAGCATGGCATCTATACCTAAGCGTCCAGCGATAGTCGCCTCTCAATTTGTCCCGAGAGGAAAAGAATCAAACTGGTGGCATAAATTGGACTGATAACTTCTCATTGTTGTCATCGTCGCTTGTGTTTGTGCTTGGGTAGTTTGAGGCCAGCCGTGAAGGAAGTGTGGCTTTGTATGTTGTCTCAAAAAGGAAAAGGCTGCCTGACGACCCAAAACGGCTAGACTCATTATGGACCCAGGTTAATCTTATCTTCTCCAGGCTCACCGCGGCGGTCACACTCTCAGCCTCATTTCTACCACGCCGCTTCTCTCAACTTCTTCAAGATGAAGGTTATGCTTGTTGCCTGCGAGTCTTGTCGCTTGCGAAAAAGAAAGTGCGACAGAGCCTACCCCTCTTGCTCCTTGTGCCAAAAGTTTGTCTTCAGCCTCATGTCCCCCTAGGTGCGCATTTTAATCCATTCTCTCTAGAGCTGAGCGGGTGTGTTCCTATGCCCTTTACCGCGTCGCAGAAAGTATCCCAAACCAGAGCTCAAAGGCGCTGGTGACTGAGAGTCACCACACGCGCAGTTCCAAAAAGCTCACACCTAGCTCCTGGGACGCTGTGGAGAGTCAAGTTTATATCTCGTGGGCTATCCAGGCGCCAGCTGTCTCAGATTCCTATCCCATCGCCTCTCGCTGGTATATGCCACGCCTAATCAAGCACTGTAAAACATCCCTCTCGATCTCTTCTGGCTTGCGCTGACAGCCCCTGGGCCCCAGTCGTCGAATGTCACAATGCCACACGCGTGCCAATTAACGATAGATCTAGCTCTTATAAATTGCAGACTACCTGGATGAGAGGTGCAATGAGCGACCCTTGCTTGTTCCACGCAACTCTCTTTACCGGCTCCTCCAATTTTGATCTCCGCCGTGGAATCCAGCAGAGTACAATTACCCTGTATCATTACAATGAACTGATCAAATCGGTCAAAAAGCGTCTATCCGACCCGAAAACAGCGCTAGATGACCGCACGATAGCTGCAATCACACCGCTGGCACTCTTCGCGGTATGCAAGATAAGTGGCTTCGCCATCCACAGGTGGTAAAACTAACAATACACTAGGTTCTCACCGGAGATCGAGCTTCCGCTGAGGTGCATCGAGCTGGTCTAGCGAAGATCGTCCAGCTAAGGGGTGGTTTGGACAAACTAGGCCTGGAAGGACTAACAGCATCTCTCATCTACGTGTTCGTCGGCCCTTCTGCCATGAACAAGATGGATTCCTGACCGGACTACAGGAACGATGTTATTTCAGATATAGTCTTTGACATGGACTCAAGACCTCAGCCGCACTGCCCGCCCATGCCACCACCTGGCCTCGAGGAACGAGTTCTCAGCACACTTATCAGCCGATCTGCACCGGAGTTTCCCGGTCGCTCCATTCAAGCATTGTTCCAGTACATCCAAGAGCTCAAACTTCAGCTTGTGGCCCATCAATCGACGGCTGGTTGGGGTTGCAACGCGGCACAAGGCAACGCGATCTCGCTTCCTACCAACGATGACCCCGTGTGCCACTGTTGCTCCTTAGCGTTCCGGATTTTCCACGCTATTATAAGCGGCGGGGCGATTACGAGCAATTTTGCCGACTACCTAGACGCCTTAGCCAGCGATCTCCGTGATGTGCTAGCGCTAACCGACGACGATGTATGGATGCGACATTTCCCTGCGGTTCTTACATGGGCTTGTATAACTGGCGCCGCCGCTGCCAGTGATCCGCATCTGCGGGCATGGTTCTACTTCCGGGCGGCAGGTGCGGTGGGGATGCTCGATGATGCCGGCGACTTGTCCTTTCACGAAGATATGTCTTCACACTTCCATTGGCTTCGATCGTTGCGACGGGAAGTCCTTCAGTCCGGTGCAAAAGTGTTGTAACTAGGTCCTCAGCTCTACTTCGAACTTATTGGGGCTGAAGGGGCCCACATAATCCTTCTGCCCAACTGAACCCTTATCCCCATATGTGAGCCTCCTTCGGCCCTGCCGAACCGTGCAAGAACGGACCCCCACCATTTATTCAGGCCCTCCAACTGTTCTTCAACACCACTGGCCAAATCGCTGCGGGGTGTTGAACCCGTGTCCTGCCAGCCCTATTATTCCAGTCGAACAAAAGGGAGGAGGGATGCGAGCCCCACGCATTTCGCTGCCTCTGAGAGGCTGGAGCAGCACCCGAATGTGTGGCAGTGCTGGCGCTAAAGTGCCACTAGCTCCTTGGCGAGCTCAGTTCCTTCACTGTTTTCCTCGGAGCGATTCTAAGTCTGGTGTTGGAATTTTTGTCTGTTACAGGCTAATCTGGTCCTGAAAATGAATGCGCCGAATCGCTATGAGGAGGAGTTATATGCATCCCACTGTTTTGTATGGAGAGCAGTCTTGTATAGACTTGGTGTAATTCACTGTTGCAGCCACAGTGACTACCACTCTCCTGGTATTGCAGATACGAGACCCCGTGCTGCATGGGTAGTATCACGTCAGCCACCATGCGGTGAAATGGTAGGGGCGCTAGGACATATGCAAGGTTTGTGAATTAAGCGAGGTCCCCGATTCACTCTATGAGTTCTGGATGCTGTTGAAGACTAGTCTACACGGGGAGTTCGGTATTCTGTGATCTGGACCACCGCTCATCTCCTCGACGCTTCCTTCAAACCACAGTCGACTTGCAGCTGGCACGTGAGGCACGGAAATGCCATGACGCGGGAGAATGAGTGCGAGTTATCTGCGTGTGAACTCGCTTTCTGAGCCGCCGGACAACATGGCCGGATCGCCGAGGCACGCCGATGGTAAGATCTCTTGATAACAGAAGACAAGAATTCGTTCACCTGGAGACAAATTCAAGTTGTTTCCCCCTGCTCTCGTGCTTCCTTCGTCTTATATCCTTCAAGATGACCTTTCATTTCTGGTTCAAATACTCAATGCAGGTGGCCATGATTACAACTACTGGATCTGGCTAAGGCATGGATGACTCGACCCATCTTCTGTTTTGGTGTTATAATTCGCGTAGGGGGTCACGCAAGCTGCAGCTGTCTGTGGATCTGTTGCTTAGCAGAGATGCATTTGAGAGACCTTCCCTTGGCTTTACTACCATGCTCCCCTTGAATCCAGTAATTGTACTGATTGATAACTACTAGTGCAGGCCAGCCTCTCGCTCAGACCCCGAAGCTCACGGCCCGTGCAGCACGGGCACTGCCGCGGGCCGGAGAATAGCCTGCCTAAACAGGAATGGCAGGGCTGTTTCAAGGTTTCCTCTTAGTCTCGGGCGGATGCATCCGGTCTCATTGCTATTTACCATTGTCACAGTGGACCCCCTCACCTACTTCCCAACAGAACATTAGTCTTCTTTTCTCCCGTCAAGAAAAGACGATGGTATTTTTCAAGCTTTTCTGAAGGGCAAGAGTGGGGGAGGAGGTGGTGGTGGGAGTCGCACGGGCAGTTGTTGCGTGAGGCGAGTTCAGCTCCCGGCCCACTTCTCTTTCATAATTGCTTCTTTTGTTTGTTGTTCTTGCGTTCTTGATGACGCGGTTCGTCGCCTGTGGTCAGACTAAGGTATCTACTTACCACTTAGGACTAAATCAACTCGCTAACCCTGCATCTCCTCTACGCGCCCAGCCTTGGAGAAACCTATCGCTACGAATTCCCTGCGACACCTGGGTTCGTCAATTTTCTGTCTTCTGTTTTCACCCCACTACCCGAACCAACTTCACCCAGAGACGCAGATCTCCACATATTATCGGTTGATCTGCGCGAATGTGATTCAACTGCGATGGTTCGCGAGCGACCACGGTACCCATTCGACTAGTCGCGATTGCCGGCTGCTTTCGCGAGTCATGCTTGATTGCTTGATTGCTTGATTGCTTGATTGCTTGATTGTTTGTTCTATCTTTGTCGACTCGGGTGGCGAGCCCTTATCGGTAGGGCAATTCGATGGCAGGTGCGCTCTTCTGCTCTGAGCTTTGTCTCTCATTGCTTTTGTTTCCTCTCTTGTTTTTGGGAAGTCGACCAAGAAGTTGAAAACAGCGTTTTGCTCTGATTCCCAGCTCTGTTAGCCCTGCCACTGCGGTTGACTTCTTCTTCTTCTTTTGCGACCAGTGACGGGACAAGAGGCTCGAGAGAAGAACTTGCATTCGAAACAAATTCAGTTTTTCATTGTGGAACCGACATCTTTTGACCCTCGGAGCCCGTTTCTTCCTAGTATCGCCGACTATCTCTTCACGATCCATCCTATCTTCGACAGGAAAATTCAATCATGGGCAGTCGCAATGATGGTACGTTGGGATCTATTCGATGGCTGATCTCGTCGCCTATCTTATTAATGTTGAATACAAAGATCTACCGACCAACATTAGTCTCACCGGGAGTGATGGTCCCCCAGGGGAGCCTAGTGTACCAGAGGGCGACGGCACTCCATCAAATGGCAACATTCCAGAGGAAGGCCGTGCTCTCGAGGCAGATGGTGTCACCGGGAGCGACGGTTTTCCAGCGGAAGAGGATAAACCAGCGGACGACGATAGTCCTGGAAAAGATGATGATTTGGTGCACACGGACAGTGTTGCAGATGTTGCAGATGATAACGATGGCCCAGGCGAATATAGAGCTCTAGAGCAAGAGCGGCCCCGAGACCTACTGCAGGAGCTTATCAAAGCGATCGAGGAAGGAGAACCGCAGAGTGCGGAGGACCTTGTTACAGAACACAATAATCTTGCAAACATGACGTTCACCTACGGTGCAAGCAAAGGGAGCGACATTTCAAAGGAGCGGACGACTCCGCTATTGCTGGCCATCGAGCTGAGTAGAAGTGGCCTCGTTGAGCTTCTGGTCAATCGAGGAGCAGATGTCAATCTCACGGTCATGAATGCCAAGGATTATGAAGGAGAACCCGAAACGCTCAAGGCATTGAAAGCTGCAATTTTGTGCGGTAGTCAAGTGAACCTCAAGGATATCCTTGAGCACAGCCTCAATATCATCAACGCAGATATAAGTTTCACAAGCGAGGATGTGACGGGACTTACAATGGAGGAAATAACCCCCTCAATGTTGGCCGTCGCCTTTGAGCGACCTGAGATCACCAAGCTTCTGAAGGCTAATGGCGCATACACAGAAGCGACAACGGTCAATGATGAATCTACTCCATCTCTGCCTGTTACTATTGAGACCCAGCTTCGAACTATCCAACATTTCCGGAATAGACGAGCAACCGGATCTCCTTTGGTGAACGGCAACCATACCATGGCGCCGCTTCTCGCCGCAGCTGAGATAGGGAATGAGAAGGTGTTCGACATTCTATTGAAGCACAAGGCTGACCCAACAGCTAGTGACATTTATGGAAATACCGCGCTGCATCTGGCTTCGAAGGGTGGAGACACAACCCGATCTACCAGCATTCCGAAAGGAGGGTACCTCGCAATCATTGAAGGATTGGTGAAGAAACACCCAGCGCTCGTGAACCAGCCAAACAAGAATGATGAGACCGCGCTCATAGTCGCGGCTATGAAGGATCAGAAGTCTATTGTGGAACTGCTGATCAAATTCAAAGCGAACATCGAGAGTCGAGATGTATGGCAATATACGGCATTACTGAATGCCGCCACCTTCCAGGCAAACTCAGTCATTCCTACTCTCCTTGACGCGGGTGCAAACCTTGCAGCAAAAACGGGAGCAGGATTAAACGCACTCCAGCTGGCATGTGAGAATAATGACGAGGACACTGTGCGACTGCTTCTCGGAGTTCCGCCGATCAAGTTGGCCACGCTCATGAGAATCGGCGACCCTGCGAAACAAACCGCCCTGGGCTGGGCGATTTCCGAGAAGACAATTTCCGAGAGAATGGATCCCTCGATCATATTCCAACTGCTGGAGTCCAGTTTCTTCTTTCCGCCCGACCCGGCGCAAGATCAAGTGCATTGTTCCCCAAAGAACGAGCAGGAGCCCATTGCGAAATGGCTATTAGATTATTTTCGGCAGCAGGAGATGCAGGGGCTGGATGACTTTCGGCGGCAGGAGATGCTCAGCCATCTAGTTCCAGTTTTCTCCTGGGGGCTGGTAAACGCACAAAATGAGCTGTGTAAAGTTGTTATGGATAAGAACTTGGGAAGCCCTCCAAAATTAGAAGACCGGTGTGGTGCAACATGGCTGCATGTGATTGCTTCCAGTGGGAATGTGGATGGGCTTGGATGGATGAATGATACTTGGAGTGCTCATCTTTTGACCAAGGCGAGCCGCGGCTTCACACCGTTGCATGCTGCGGTGGAAAACAGGCATGAAGAAATGGTCCGAATCCTCCTGGGAATGATTGACGAGAAAGATGCCTCACGGGTGTTAGATGTGATCTTGGGGGAAGGGAAAGATGCTGAAAGTGCTATTGCGGTCGCCGTCTTGAATAATAACGAGCCTGAGATTGAAGAACAGCTTTGGAACAAATTGCGAAAATTATTCGAAGCCAAAAAGCTCTCTGCTTCACATGGCCTCAGGCAGGATGGGGACGACGCACACAGAAAAGATGAATGGCGCAACACTGCAGAACGCGTAGTTGGAGCCGCAGCCTGGCGATACACAACCGGAGAAGAGAAATATTTGAATGGTTTCATGGATATTTACTTGACTGGAAAGGCAAGGGCGAAAGATATGGGGCCTCTGGACTTTGTCGTCAACTACCGATTCCCGACCGCCCTTTGGTGGTTGCTCTCCAGCGGGGAGTATTTTGGTGAGATCCTGTTCAGGAAAGGGAATGACCTCACAAAATATGGAAACGGAGTGGACCCGGCCGACGACTGAGAGATTTGGCCTACTGCTCCTGGGATAATTAGGAATCTCCTAACCAACCCTCCTTCGTTGCGTAGACCCAGCAATGGCAAGCTTTTGCCTGAATTCGAATACGAGAGACCCGTCCCTAGATCCGTCCCTCAGACCGACAAAACCTATGCTATAGTGCTTGACGTGACCATCAAGGCCAAAGCACAAATTGCGATCAAGCTCAAACGTGGGGAAATCAAGGAAATTCTGTACGGGCGAGGGCCCAACAGCATGATGATGGACACAGGATATCGCGATCTTCAGGCTATGCAAGATGAGCTTTTCAATGGGCCAACGGCGCTATCAAAGAAGTCGGCAGCCGAACAAGCGTCAGCACCACCGAGAGAGTCAAAGATTACCACCGGGAAACAGGGCGAGTCTTCAGATTCGGGCCCGATGAAACAAAAACAGATGCGATGGTTTCATATTCCCACAAACAATGTGAGACATCTCCAAGATTCAATATCAGAGAATTCAACAAGTGAACTGAACTGACCTTCTCGCACCTAGCTGCAATACGTCAAGGTATTAGTGGCCCATCATCTTGCAGAACCCTGGGCTAATTGGCAACAGGATCTCATGGTCAGAATATCTCGAGAGAGGGAGCATAGTCAAAGCACGCATCGTCGCTTGGCGAAGCTAGTGAAAAGGAGCTGGGTGGAGATACCCGCGGGAGGAGAGAAACATTATATGAAACCACGGTGTGGACTTGTGAAGGAGGATGACGTGTCGATGTTTGCTCTCTATGTCTGTAAATCCTCTCAGCTGTTTGGTATGTTGATAAGTGGATGACGCTAACAGTCAACTACAGTTTCCCTACATATCGTGGGGTGCTGGACCTCCCAAAGCTCAGAATCACGGGAAGAACGAGCACAACGGCCAGGACCATACAGAGCCAGGTTCTGACTCCCATACCGAACAGCAGGACCCTAAATCGCAGATTACCTCGGAGCGGCGTTCGAAGGCAACATCGCAAACCAGTCCGCAGCCTGACGGAAAAGTCAGCTGGCCGGAGTCGAAGCAGGACACGCGGAAAATTGTCCACGAAGCTCTTACCCTAGATCAGTATTATTACGACTCGATCAAAGATACATATATAAGGGACCAGGACCAGGCTCTTTCGCGATTATTTAAGACTTACAAGGAAAAGAGAGCCATACAGAGCACACAACCACCCGAGGAGCAAAGGTCACACCATAATCACGAGCCGGTCGGCGAGACCTTGACAACGGACTGTCAGGACTTCTTTGAGTCACTCTCTAGGAGATGGAAGGAGCGAAGGGACAAACAAACACCACATAGGCAGGAACGGAACGATCAGGACCGGTCGTACGCGTTACAGAAAGACGAAGCAGAAAGCTTTCAAATCCTCAAGGTCAACCAGCTATGGCTATGGATCCTGCACGACGGTAAGATCAGTATGTTGCCCTCGCCCTGGGGGCCGAGCTAATGGAACTATCAATATATCTCTAGACACCATTATCACCAGCGTGACACAGGAAGTCGAAGATGGCGAGAAAACCTTCTTGGAACGAGTTCTCGACAAGCTGAATCAGGCCGATTTCGACGTTCCCGAAGAAAAGAAAGAGCAAGGCTCAAGCTTGCCGGCATATCAGATCCGAATTGTGCAAGGGATATTGGATACCGCCCGGGACATGTTCGATGCCCGGGACGTTCTGATCGATCCGCCCCTCAAGGAAAAGATCGCGCCTCTGGATGTGTACCGCAGGGCAATTCAAAAGATGGTATGCATGCAGGAAGGCCCGCGAGCTAGCACTGATGCTGACTTGTGTTCATGTAAAGCGCGATAAAGAGATCGAGCTGTTCGCTGGCTTCCGGGGCGCCCTCAACCTCAAGGCAAGGAAGGGAGAGTCGCAAGCAAGACAAACATCACAGCAGAATGGAGTATCCTCTCAAAGGGGCCCAGAACCTCAGAAGTTTTGGGAGACCAAATCGACATCCGAGAATCCCTACGAGAGGATCGACGATGAAACTAACGTCCTTCATGAGATCAAGGACATTCTCGACGAGCTGAACATTCTCAAATCTCTGGCGCATGATCAAGACAACGTTGCGAGTCAGTTGGGTAAAATCGGGTCTCAGGCTAAATCGAAATTCGCTCTATCGGAAGTCAGTAACGATATCCAAGGCATGGTGCGAGACGCCATAAGCATCCAGACCGACATCAACACATTGCTTGATTTGAAACAGAAGAAGGCGGGCATCGTCGAGGCCCAGGCCACGCGAAGCCAGAGTGACACTGTCATGAGCTTCACCGTGGTGACGATCATCTTTGTAAGTGCACAGTCCAGCTGTCGCCGGGACGCCGGGGAACACCTGGATGCTGAGACTCGCAGCTACCGGCCTCCTTCTTGACCAGTCTCTTCGCATTGGATATCTCGGACTTCCCACATGAGAATGGCAACCTAGTATATCAAGGGCGCTGGATATTCCCGATTATCTGTGAGTCCAATCGATACACTGCGTTTTACTATTTTTGTCACTGACTAAGACTGTCTTTTGTCATGCAGTTGGGGTCTCCTTGGTCGTCTCCGCTTTTTTCGTCGCACTTGCGTACAACGCCAATTGGCTTAAGGTCCTCATTCTACGAGGTATGGAACACAGCAGGCATTGGGGCTGGTATGAGACCATGCTAAAGAGGAGTCAGTCCCTCTTTCACCGCGGTGAGACAAAGGGAGGGAATCACCAAGAAAACAACGAGAAGCCCCACACAGAACCAGCGACAATACCAGTAGAGGAGCAAAGTCGCTCTAAAGCCCCCAGGTCTCCGGGCGCTCGTTGGTGGACTGTGCAAGGTATACTACGTTTCATGAAACACCCCAAACCAGGGAACGATGTGGAAGGCCAACACAATGCAGAGCGGGCACAGACGCCGAGCTCCTACGAGCAAGGCCCACTCAAGGTTTAACAGAGTCTAGACTACATTTCTCGGCATTTTACCTTTGACCTTTTTCGTTCAACTGCATTTCCTTCGTTGTGAAGATGGAAAACTAGTCGTCTTATATATCACTCGGTCTTTATATCTAGCAGAAATTATTCACAGGAGTACTCGAGCCTCTTGTAGGAAGTCCTGCCATCCCACCCTGATATAACAGGTATACCTAAAGCTATTTGCAAATAACTATGTGTCCTGGTCTTCAATCATTCAAGTAATTTTAGCTTTTACACAACACGAATTAATCCCAAAGCGGTTCTTGCATTATCGTTCACAATAATAAATATGATATATTACTAGAAGGACACACAAATCAGAAATCATCATATCGATTGCCCGTGTTATCTCTAGCATGGTAATTGATATAGAAGTATAGAAATAAGATTCGGAGTATATATTCTAACGCCTACAGCAGCTTGTGCTTACCGAACCCAAGGAAGAGAAATGGTCTTTCGGTACGCTTCACATTCTGGCAGGACTTATGGCTGTCTTCTGGGCTATTGTGTGTGATGTTCCGGGGCAACAGGAAGGTAGGTATCCACCGTACCTAAGAAAGTCTATGTTTTTGGGTCGTCTGTCCTAATTCTGCGTGGAACAAGAACTGACGGCGATTAAGATAGATGAAACCGACATATATTTGCATCAGCTCGGCTAGTGTATAGGACCTCCAATGATCTCTGAAGCAGTGTTCACCGGAAACGTCGTTCTCGTGCTGCTACGAAGAGGAGAAGTTGGCGAGCCGGCTACAGATTGCAACGCAATTTGCCCTACGGCACCACAGAAGAGATGATACCACCTTTTTGACATCAATGCTAGAAGAAAGGCAAGTTGTTTCACAAGAGGTAACGTGAGGAGAAAAAAATAAAAGAGAAATGGAGAAGAACTAGCAGAAACCATCAAACCTCTTCAATTCCTTCCATAAAGGCGTGCCCAGCCTTTCAAGCCGGGACGGCGAGCGAGGTAATCATGCAGACCAACAAAGGAAGAAAAAGGAAATGCAAAGCCTAAATATTGATCTGACATTCAGACATGGGAGCTGGTCAAAGGACGAGGCCGGAAACTCCCAGAAGCAGCGGGTGTTTTGAAGGTCAAAAGTTCCAAGTCGAGGAGAGATTGCCTACTTCAGAGATAATCATTACTACTGCATATTCCCCAAAGGTCGGAGCCTGGAAAACCAGATAGCCACGTTGATGTAAAGACTTGAAGCGGCATCGGCATTTACTGTGTTTTTGTCAGATCCCGATCACAAGATTGTGATCCCAATGGCGCCGGACCGGATACAAGGAGACCGTTGGCCTTTGGCAGCTATGCGCACTGCACATCGGCAGAGTGAAAAATGTACTTTTGTCTTGTAGCTACCTTGGGAGATTGTTGAGATATGCCGACTGCATAGCAGAGTCAAGGAGGCAATGTCGGTCAGACGTGGATATCTCGTATGTATGTGGCAATTCCAGTCACGACTATGTGGTGTGCGTTATTGATTCCTTCGGGGCGCCCTAGCTAGCTCCTAACCCAGTAAGACTTCGGCCTTGTTGATCTCCGTTCCTCTTCCGTTCGTCCACGAACCAAGCCGTCCTTGTATGATGATATTCCTTGGCCCCGCTGTTAGCAATCAATTTTACCATGTGCTTACCTTACCAGCCTGAATACAGGATTCACTGGTGTGAGCTTGTTTTGGGGGCTTGGACAGTCAGCAAAGTCTCCTCTTCAATTCTTATTCCCCCCGTTTGTCCCGCTAAAGCTTTACTGCACCACGAATTTACACAAAGCTACTCGAGTTCTGATCCTATGAATGTGTTTTACTATGAGATATAGCATATGGTAAAGGGCACTCACTCTTCTGAGCTTTCAAACGGTTGTCGCACCCTCCAGTGCACTAGGCAACATAAATAAAAAATTGAAATCTTCGCTAGACAGTGAGAGGTGGATCGTGAACGTAATAGTGGAGCAAAGTGAGGGGCTGGATTACAAAACCCGTACGCATGTCTCGTCGATGCGACGGGTATTTTTTTGCCGAGCCCGGCTAAAATTGGCCCAACAAAGCTTGGTTCCCTCGGCCTTACAAGGCTGTAGAGCAGTCACTAATACCGAGGCAGCGTCCAGGCCCTGTCACAACTGGAGTCTGGTGCATCCGATCCCTTCCGAACAGCTTTTCATCGCCATCAGTAGGACTCTCAATGCTATGACTAATGTTTGAAAAGACAGTTACACCGGTAAATAGTACTGTAAGATTCAACCCGATTGATAACCCCGCGGTCAAATGGGATTCTCTGGCTAGGGCGGATACCCTCTTTCTCTCTCGTGTTCTGCCGAGTTATCCATCTTATTTTATCAATCGAACACGGATCAGATAAATCCTGGCACTTACCCCTCCTATTCAGATTTCCTGGCACGTTCTCGGTCTGGTTCCGGCAAGATGGTTTCAAGGAAATGGAATATCAGCTCCATGCTGCTATTCTCGACAGCTCTGTTGGCACTGTCGGCCTTCAATTATGGTCTGAGTGACCAGGCTTTCTCGTCGTGTCAGGCCATGGACTCTTTCATCAGGCAATTTGGTAAATACGACGCCTCGACTCATACCTGGAAGATTCCGGCTTTGGACACCTCCCTGTACAACAGTATTAAAGCTGCCGGTCAAATTATCGGTGAGTGTAGCCTTCTCTTGGATTTCTTGTTCGATTCCACAGGTGACCAGCTGCTAATGAAGCCTTTCGATAGGAGTCTTCCTCGGTGGTTATGTCAGCAACAGATGGGGACGGCGAATGTGCATTTTCTCGATGAGTGTTTATGCTCTCGGGAGTGCTTCGGTCGTAGTTAGCTCTACCACCCAAGCTCAACTTCAGACGGCACGAGCGCTTCACTGTGCGTGATTTCACTCCATACAAGTCTCTCAAATCTGGCTAACGAGGCTCATACGGCTGTAGATATCTACCTTGGAATGCAATTGGCCGTTATTCCCACCTTCCTTGCCGAACTGGCACCCGCCAAGAACCGAGGTGGAATTGGGGTGATATACTGGCTGAGTATCAAGTGCGGTGGGCTGTTCATCACCGGCGTGGCCCGAGCTACGAAGACAATGACGACCGATGCTGCATGGCGGATCCCGTTTGGCCTGATCCTCGTCATCCCCTTCATAGTCCTCTGTTTGGTCTGGTTCATCCCCGAGTCTCCACGCTGGTATCTCCTCCGCGATCGTCAGATCGAAGCCCTCCAGGCCCTCACTGCCCTCAAGCCCAAGAGTACTCCTGAACAGGCCATTCAAGAAGAGTTCGATGTTCTCTCTGCCAAGGTGGCCGAGCAACTCCAAAAGAAGTCGTTCAGGGATCTCTTCACGCGCCAGAACCGGCAGCGTACCTTTGTGGTTGCTGCGGCAAACTTTTTCCAGCAGGCGACCGGTCAGGCTTTCGCCTCGCAGTACGGAACCTTGTTTGTCAAGCAACTGAAGTCGGTTAATCCGTTCAGCGTGACCCTCGGTACGAACGCTGTGGATATTGGCGCCATTATCATTTGTGCATCGTTGATCGATATAGTTGGACGTCGGTGAGTAGCAGTACCCAACCTGCCACTGTCATCCCATCAATATAGATACTAACCATGAGAAGAATGCTCTTCCACACCAGTTCGTTACTCCAGACCACGGCTCTAATGACCATGGGCGGTCTTGGCACCGCGGATTCCAGCAATGTCCACGCCAAGCAGGGGATTGTAGCCATGCTTCTGCTCTTCAGCTTCAGCTGGTCTTTGGGCTGGGCTCCCCTGGTATACGTGCTGGGTGCCGAGCTTCCCTCTTCTCCGCTCCGAGAGATGACGCTTCAGATCGCATATACTGTCAAGCTAGTCACCGAGTATGTTAAGATCTTGTTTCCTTCCCTTCCGCGATGCACGGTTCAACCCTAACCCGTGTGAATAGATTCGCCGTGACTTTCACATATCCTTACATGGAAACGGCCGACACCCCGCATCATGTTGATCTCGGCGGCAAACTAGGTTTCATTTATGGTTCCCTGTCAGCATTGGCTTTTCTCTTTGGATGGTTCTTCATTCCCGAGACCAAGCAGGTGGAGATCGAGGACCTTGATAAGCAGTTTGCTGTCTTCGAGCTTGTGGATGTTGAGGACCCGACGAAGGGGGCGCCGGCCGTGATCACTGAACTTCCTCGATAGATGAGCATTCAGGAGCGTACTAGATTCAAGTATAGGTTCTGATGGTATTGATTGATACTTCTTCACAACGTACCTTCGTTCAGGCCATGATTCAACTTGTTTTGTGGCTTACGCACCGTGATCCCCTCGTATGGACCCGCAGACAAGATTTTCCGCTGACAATATCTGCGAAGTTCAACAGTGCGATTATGTCGGATATTTGAGAGCATACATTGCTTCAGCGTTCTGATCGTTATAATTGATACCCCTCTGCATGGTTGCGATTATTTTTTTTTGACCAGGCGACTCAATACCTAGGATGCGACCGTGAAAGCCGCGCGCCCTTGGCCTTGCATATATATATGTAAAGCAGTATATTCGATCAGCTAGATTCAACTGGGGAAGAGCTTAATTAGTGATTACCATGCCTTGCAGGTTTGGCTTCTCACACTCTCTGGCCCTCTGTGTTCTCCTAGCCCTGATGCCCGAGACCTCCGCCGTGCCTGTTTTTGATGGGCGTCACCCTCGCCCTCGCCGGCTACTACATGGTCCTGAACAACCGGCGTCAAGGCCTCCGCGCTGGTGGGCTCTGTGCTGCTACTGGCTGATCTGTTCATCTTCGCATGGACCGCCACCCCGCTCACTAAATCCCACCCTCTTCCTTTGCACGGCAGGCAAGAGAATAATGGCTCTGTGCCCGCGTCGACGGGTGCACTACCGGCGCCGTGATAAGACCAATAAAAGGTTGGGAATTTCAGCATCCCGCCCGGTTTCCGGCATGTATAGCATAGACAGTGGTGGGGGTGCGACTGACAAGATCGGCTGGTCAACTTCACATATACTAGAAGAGCGAAAGACAGGGATCTGGTAACCAAGGCTGCACGATAGTCTATTGGCCCTGATCCAGGAAGAAACACCGACAGAATGTAGATAAGGCATATGAATCTCTAAGTGACAGGCAGTATTGGATGATCTTTAACTCTGATCATTTTTTTTGGATAGTAACTAAGAACGATGTCCCGATGAAATCAGTTTAGGATCTTCTTTGGTAACCTGCGGTAAACATCGTGATGAAAAGACCAAGACTGCAACCTTATCGAGAATGCAGATTGGTCTGCTTAGTAAGTATACTATAAGACAAAAGGAGCCTTCTCTTGGCTAAAGGAAGTATGTCATACACTTTCCCTCTTCTTTACCTGAATGCCTTGGGTAATTTACGCTTGAATGTCTGGATTTGTAGGAAAAAAACTGCCTTCAACTTTCAATCAAGTTCGAAGTTGCCACACCCACCCTCACAGTCAATTGTGGCAGGCCTTTTCTTTCTTCACCACAACAAGTTCAACAAAACAAGCTCGCCAACCCGAATAGCGCCCTAGGGATTTTGGAGACATATCTCAAACATCCGCATGAATACCCGCACGGCCTTCTTCGCGGACACACATGCCGTCTGCCATGACGATCACTCGATCCATCCACGCCACGCTCGTCGGACGGTGCGCCACACACAGAATGATACTATCGCGGAAGTGCTCCTGTAAGACCTGCTGAATATGGTTCTCCGTCTGCAAGTCCACACTCGAGGTCGCCTCGTCCAGGACAAGGATGCGGGGGTTGGCCAGCAGAGCGCGGGCCAAACAGATCAGCTGCGCCTGTCCAGCCGAGAGATTCGTGCCGCCGGGTGCAATCACGGTGTCGAGCAGAGCGCTGCTGTTTGTGCAGTGGGGTGTAGGATCGGCCTGCGCTCCCCCATCCCCGGACAGTGAGCCGCTCCGTCGGAGGTCAAAGGCGTGGAATGCCCCCACCACGGAAAGCGCATGGAGTAAGGTGCCATCGGAGTGAGAGCTCTGCGGATCAAGATTCTGACGCACCGAGCCGGGGAACAGGACCGAGTCTTGCGGGAGGACGTGCACCATGCTTCGGAGGGTGGTGAGAGGGAGGTCGTTGATCGGAGTCCCACGGATGGTGATCCGACCGTGCACCACCGGGGCGAGGGCCGACAAAGCCGCCAAGATAGTCGATTTACCCGAGCCTAGACAAGGATGTGGGTGTTAGATACGAGAGCTGGCGATGGGGAAAGAGGGGGTTGGGATACACTCACCACTATGTCCGATGATCCCCACTTTCTCGCCCGCTCGGATGCACATCGAAAAATCGCGGAGGGATGGGCTGTGGCTGCACGGATATTGGACGGTGACATTGAAGAAGATGATCTCACCTTCTGGCTCGGAGTCGGGAGACTTGATTACAATGTAGGGATGCGCCCCGTCCGGAGTATCCCCCATCCAGGTTGGGCTCGTCGGCTGCACGCGGTGATCATCTTCCACTGGGATCCGAGTCATGTAGTGGCGTAGTCGTTCCGTGGAGTTCATCTCGACCTCGACATTGATCAAAGACCACAGAAACTGGTGCATATGCTTCGACAGTGAAATGCTGAGGGTGAAGATGAGCCCCATCTGTAACGAGTCGAGCACACCGAAGACCCCGAGCAAACCTGCACACCCCAGCAGGGCCACTGAAAGCATCTCGATCCGCAGTGTAATCCATGTTTCCAATGCATAGCGAACAGTAATTCCGACAATAGCACGACCAAGGGCTACACGGTGACGTTCTTCAAACAGCTCTCGTGCATCATACGTCTGAATCGTCGGCATCGAAGCCATACTCTCCGTAATAACGGAGAGGACGGGGGAGTCCAGGATAGAACAAACGCGTCGGAGTTCGCGGGCAGACCTGAGTTATCCATTAGTCCTTGCCAAACTGCAGTAAACGACGTTTAAGAGGGAACGCATCACTTACACTCGATAGAGAGACTGAATACGATATTGGAAGTAGAATATCGGTCCGAAGGCCAGCAGAAGGTAGGGGGAGCTCCAGACAAGCACAATGACCGCCGCAAACAGCGATGTTGCAGCCATGAGCAACAAGTCGCCTGCATTGATGAGTCGAAAGTCAATTCCATCGATATCTACCGATAGCCGGTTCAAGACGCGACCTAGAGGCTGTCCACTGAAGAAGTCCAAAGGTGCGCGGAAGAGACGGGTGACGACGCCCTCATGGATACTCCGGCTAGCCTTCATCGTTCCCAATACAAGAATCACCCCCACTGAAGCTACAGGCGTGATTGTCATCGTCAGTACCGAATTCGGTCCGTCAGTTGTATGAAGCCAAACATACCAATGAAGACGGCCTGTAGCATGACGACTAGAGCATATCCTGTAAGATAAGTAGGTGTCGAGACAGATAGCACATTTCCCATCCACCATGGTAACCAGAAACTGTTGACAATTCGAACAACAACGGTGAGAAAGAGCATGAGGGAGAGCAGCATTATGAACCGAGGGCCTCCAGCACATTCAAAGTAGAATCGATATAAGTCAGTGTCAACCTTACCACGGGCGCGCTCCTCCTCCGCCAAGGTGATCTGCTTGGAATCAGCAGAATCTCGCTTGGGCGTTGATTCCATGCTCATAACTCCATCGAAATGGTCCTTGCTATAAGTCCCTGTCTCACCGACAAGGATTGACCCAATAATGCCATGTGGGGATTTTCGTAACTCCTCGGGACTTCCTACCTCCGCAACCATGCCGTTGGCCAAAGAAACAACATGGTCGCAATATTGGATGAACTCGGCCTGATGTGTAACTATAACGAGCTTACTTAGCATTCGACGTCCTTCTAATGCAGATGTAGCATTACCTAAAATAACGGTCTGCGGCAGCTTGAGGATGCACTCATGAAACAGCTTGCGCGCCACCCGGGGATCAACTGCAGCCAGACAATCATCCAAAAGCAGAAGATCTGCCTCGCTGTAGACAGCTCGTGCGAGAGAGATTCTGGCCTTCTGTCCACCACTGAGGTTAGCGCCACTCTCCCCTACTATTGCGAGGTCGCCGCCCGGAAACGAGGCAATGTCTGACTCGAGGCAGCAGAGGCGGACGACTTGATGATACCGCACGGGCTCGTAAGACCGCAGAAACGTGATGTTATCACGAACAGTACCTAACATAATCCAGGGGTCTTGAGTGCATAGGGCCATCGTTGCCGGATTCCGTAGGAGTTGACCCTCAATGACCTCGGCTTGCCCGGCAATGGCCGCTAGCACCGTGGACTTACCACTTCCACTGGCTCCGTGTATGATTGTCAATTTATTAGCCGGTATACCCATGGTGATCGGTCCTAGAACAAAGCTAGTCGCACTGTCATCTGCGTTCGGGTAGGATACTTTCGCATTATGGAACTGGATCATATTGCCGGCGCTGGCATCGCTCGACTGGGGAGCTTCCCCTGGTTCGTGATTGGCAGGCCGATGTTCCGGTTGGTGCAGGATATGGAGAATGCGTCGGACACACGGGAGAATAGAGAACTGACGGGTTACCGAGAGGGAGAATTTGGAGGCTGGCGAGAATGTCATTTCGAATAGTGTCAAGGCAGGGAATACCACCTCTGGCACCAGCTCATGGCCAGTATACCAGTAGCTTGTCAAGGAAACCATGGCGGTGACTGCAGGAATCATCTGGTTTATGGAGATAAAGAAGCAGAAGACGACGCGCAGGCGACGCCATAGGGCTTCCAATTGCATCTCCCGAGCTGATCGTATCTCCTTGAGAAACATAGGCTCCAATCCCAACGATTTGATACCGCGGATCTTTTGGAAGGCGGAGTTGAGGTGATTGATGCGCACCTCATCGATGCGTAGGTAGTCTTCGACTGCTACACCCACCGCAGCGTTCGCCCGAGTCTGGGAAAAAAGAAGGAGTGACATTGCCACATAACCTGATGCAAGTTAATAACTGGTTTCGGTCACGCAACGAGGCTCCATCCTTACCCACGACCCCAGATATACCAAGCAGGCGAACGATCATAAACGCGATAAGAAGCAACTGCAAAGGACTACTCCAAATATCATGAACCTTGAGCACATAGTTTCGGACTAGCATCATATCGGTTGTGGAGCTGCCCAAGACCTTTCCCACGGGACTCCGTAGATGCGCCAGGTTCGAAAAACGAACACTCTTTTGGAATATAGCCAGAGAGAGGACAGATGAAGCTCGAACAGATAGGACTCGGCAGATCTGATCTTTGGCACGTCCAGCCAGCGTAGCCACCGCACTAGCTAGAAAAAGAGCCACAAAGTTCCCGATATGAGTGGGATCCTGCAGAACTCGTCGTAGGAATAACGGGAGGAGAAGCGTCAAGAGCGAGGCAAGCATCTAGTCAATGCCAATTGGTCAATGCACTGTTACCTGGGGTCACAATGCTTCCGTGGGATCATACCTCCAGTCCAGCTGAAGCCAATAGAGGACAGAGAAACTCCTTGCTTGTAATTGTCTTTAGCCACTGGGATTTGCGTGCCAGTCCTGCCAGTGGGACATAGTAATGAGCATCTTTCGAGGTGCCTGGCAACCAAGCTTGCTCTAAGTAGTCGGCTGATTGAATCGAGCGCATCAAAGAGGTGAGCCAGTCCTGCAGGATGCCATACTCGTGTCGTGCCACATCCACGCGGGAACCATCGGCATGAAGCTCTTCTAAATCAATCGCTTCGACCTGCTCGTACTGGGGCTGTTGGGAAGGAATCCAGCGATCCAGTAAGCGTTTGATACGCGATAATAGCACCCATGACTGCATATTGAGTTGTCGAAGTAGAATGAATGCTTGGTTTTCAGTGCCGCGAGAGAGATTGATAGTGAATGGAAGTGAGGGGGAAAGAGCTCAGCTTGGGAATTGGAGTTGCTGATGAGCAATGACCAGAAGAGGGGAAGCTAGCCCGGGATAACTAGGGCAATCCAATCGTCTGGGCCCGCATGCTGCTAGAATTTACCAGCCTGGTCAGACTTCCTACCGGCTTCATGCGCACCAGCCCCTCTCTGATTGTTGGTCCGCGCTCCTGCAAAGTTTCCGCCTGTTCAGGCTCTTATTACCGAGTAAATTGGTCACCCGGAATGTCCGGGATATCGAGCATGTTGCTCTTAGCTCCGGAGTGAACACTTGAATATCACCCGTCACAGGGCAGAAGTCCCTTGGGCATTTTCGGTTCAATCCAACCGGCTACGTTCATTTAGAAAAGTTCTGATGAAAGATACCTTACACTCTAGGAACCCCAGTGTTGATCTGACCTCTATCATCCTCACCTATTTTCCGAGATGGCATGGATATCGTTACCTGAGTCGTCTGCCATCAACCTTTGGTTTATTTCGAATGAATGTGCGCGAAGTAAGGGCTCTGATGAGACATTGCCATTGCTATCTCCGCCGGCTTCCTCCAACTCCCGACCCAGCTCCAAATCTCAAAGACCATTTCTCTGTTTCTCGATAGTGTTTTTACGGCAACTGTGTGCTTCGGTTCAGCTCCTATCCCATCTCCGGCTTTATGAGTCTATAATCACTGCGAAATCTCAACATCGATATCAGTCTGCTCATGGCCATCCACAGGGAGCGATCCTTCCCAATGCCTCTTATATCCAAGGATGGCAGGTTGCCTTTGACTGTGTCCCCGGTAGATGATCTCCACTACATACTTTTCATCATCATCTTCTTTTCTTTTTCTACCTGTCGAGGCTACGGTACTGACTCTTCGTCTTTCTCCATTTAGATATACTATACCTTCTTATTTTAACAGACATCCGGAAACATTTCTCTCGTCGCTTCATCCTTGTGTTAAATTGGGGGGGTACAATTTTGGCAGAAGGCTGGATCATCTTCGTGGGTATGGATATGCCCTAACCGGCTCTTTAGGGTGAGGATTTTGAGGCATGAATGAGCTCACAGACGTGATACAGGATGGTCTGAACTGCCTTTAGCCTGGACGTGGTGCTCCTCATTATTTCGACTGTTCGGCGGCGATTCGCGAACCACAATAGCCCTAATGTTGTCTTTGCTTAGTGACATGACAGCTTCATCCGACCGGTACCATCACCACCTTCTTTGAAAGCCAGAACCAAACTCAAAAGAATTGAGCATTGAACACTAACGTGAATTGTCATGTACTATTCCCAGCCACTCGTATACATTTCATATCACCACCACCCTGTTAGCCGCCGAATTTGCTGGTTCCGCAATAGCCTCCTTTGCCCTGAGCTATGGTGTCTACGTGTCGCTACTACTGAGTCTCGTCCTCCCTATCGTCACTCTCCCACTAGCCTTTCTGATACCCTCCGATGAACGGCCGCTGAACCCTGGCCAGCGTACTGCCGACCAACATACAGAACAGCACGAATTGACCACCTGGGCGACTTCTTGCCTGAAACAACTAAGGAAGCCCGACTTTCCCTCGCGGTCTGACCTGCGGGTCTCCTGGCTCGTTGCGACATGCCTCATATCCCGCATCGGACGTTACCCATTTTCTCTTCTCCTTCCGACCGTGTCTCACCGTTATCAAGGGACTATGGCCGAGGTTGGTAACTCCTCGCGAAGATTGCACTCCGTGGACCGGAGCAATGATACTGACCATCCCCAATGCTCTAGACCGGGTTCCTTCTCTGCCTCAAACCTGTCGTCAGCCTGATGGGACTCGCCATCCTCATGCATTGCATTCGACCCCTCTTCTTGCGACGGCAATCCCCGACGCACTCGGCCGATGCGACTCCTCTCTTTGGCCCCTATCAGCTTGACCTGTGGACGATGCGAGGCAGTGCAGTGTGCATGGCTATAGGGGCGGTTCTGTTATCAGCACCACGCTCACTCATGATAGTATACACAGGTATGTTATCGCCTCGTTCTTCGATGCCAGGAGGTCTGAATCCACCAATCTTACGAATGCAATTAGGAGTCGTGCTGTATGCACTGGGTATCGGCTTCGGCGGAGGAGTCGGGGGCGTTATCGCGCAGTTGATGGGGTCCGACGGGGTCTTGCTGCCGGATAACATGCTCGAGGCGGTATTCGATGCCATCGCGGCGCCGGCGATGTCGTATACCTGCCTCTTTGGGGCACAATTGGATGAGTCGATGTCGATGGTCGGACTGTCATTTGTTGCCGCGGCGAGCATCTTTGGCTTGATTGCTATCGGGACGTTTTTTTAGTCGGCGGGGAAGAATAATACGGCTAGTGTTTTACGAGGTATTGGAAGGATCAGCCTCGATCCTCCGTTTCTCTCTTCAACCCTGCGCTAAATTAGCCCTACTTCTGGCCAGATCGCAAGATCATCGCTGCAAGCCAAACGCTTGACACACTGGCTTGTGTAATGAGAACTCGGAGTTTCCAGCTTTAATTTCCCCGCTCTAGCCTGATTTGTAAACCCTGTCCTGCAGCTCTGGTCTTGCAGGGCCATTCCATCATCTGTCATGCCTGTTGTGTTGTAACTACTGCACCGTCGGAATACAAAAATGAAGAGCAAACGTTTGGATGACTTTTGGGTGGTCTCTGTGCCCCGGCCTGATTCTTCGTGTCGAGCTTCCTTTTTTTTTTCTTTTTTTTTTTCTCTTCCACTCCTGGTTAATACCTAATGGAGCCGCTTCTATCCCACCGCACGGCCTCACTGGAGTTGGACGAGTATGTCGATGGTGAACATGATGCCGAGAAACAAAAGCCCCATGTCTATGAGGCATGGCTTCAAAAAGTCCGCCAGAAGCTTCCCAACTGCCTCACTCTCGTTTTCACGGCGCTACTACCATACTTCATCACCAGTTTATGGCGAGACAATGCTGAACGACCATCCCTGCGTCGCACCTCCCCTCTTGACGGGCTTCGCGGAATAGCTGCGCTCTGCGTGGTCAACTACCATATCATCTCGGCCTTTCACAACTTCGTCAATTACGGCTACGGGCTTACCCCCGAGGAGGCTCATCGTGAACCTCATTGCGCCCACAACAATGAGCCCATCGAGCACAATCTGCGCCTCCACCAGCTGCCAATTATTCGGCTTGTCTATTCCGGGTCCGCCCCGGTCTGTATCTTCTTTGTGCTCTCGGGCTTCGTGCTATCCTACCGATCCTGGCAGCTGGTGCGAGCCAGCAAATTGGAGGCTGTCTTCCCCAGTCTGAGCTCCTCGACCTTCCGCCGCGGGTTCCGCCTCTTCCTGCCCACGACCCTCGCTACGCTGATCACCATGATCTTGATTCAGACTGGGGCCTGGGATTATCCCGCCCAGGTTGCAATGGATGCAACCATCATTACCGCCGAGAACGAGTACCACCAACCCCGGTTGCCCACTTTCGGGGCGCAGACTGCCCACTGGGCGTCAATGATGTGGAACATGACCAACATCTTTGCCTGGGAGGAGACCTATCCCGAGTACGACGTGCATCTGTGGACCATCCCGATGGAGTTCCGGGCCTCGCTCCTGCTGTTCCTCATTCTCCTGGTGCTGGTGCGGCTCCGCTACCGGTACCGCGTGGCCAGTCTGATTGGTCTGATTGCCTACTGCTACGGTCATGTTCGGTGGGTGATGGTCCTGTTTTTGGCCGGCAGCTTGCTGGCCGAAACCTCCCTCCGCTGGGACGCTGCCCGAGCCCCTGAGACCATCATTCCCGCCAACAACACGGGGCTGTTCATCCTTTTCCTCAGGGCGGTGCTCGTCTTGATCTCCCTGTATTTCCTCTCCGCCCCAGACAAGTGCATTCACCGCACCCCGGGCTACATGACGCTGGCCAAGATCCTTCCCTCGTGGGACGTGCGCTTCTACCGCGTCTTCCCCTCATTGGGGGCCATTATCCTCGTCGGGGTGATCTCCCACAGCGCCAAGGAGAGTCGCCTTTCGCGAGTGTTCGACGTCCGGCTCGTGCAGTATCTGGGCTGGATCAGTTATTCGATCTATATCGTCCACGGGCCATTGATGCATGGCTTGGGCTATCGGCTATTCCCCCTGATGTGGCGGATCACGGGCCACGAGGCAACGGGCCCGTATCTGATGGGATTCTTTCTGGCGTGGTCGCTGTTGCTGTTCGTGGTGTTCTGGGTGGCTGATCGGTTTGCAGTGGCGGTGGATGATAACTGTGTGCGGATTGGAAAGTGGTTGGAAGGGAAATTGGTGGAGTCAACCTCATAGATGGCACCGTAGCTTTCATCAGATATGTATGTGTACGCAGCCTACCACAAATACACCCGTCTCTGCTGGAGCCTTCCCTTCAAGCAGCAGGAGTACTGGGTCCCCCGTTGACTAAAATATCCATAGAACCAGCAATATAATCATCCGTCCCTACTTGTTCATCAGACGACAATTAAGCCCAGTAATTCTTGACTTCCCCCCACAGAGTCTCTTCTCTCCTCCGTCTACAGCTGGAAGTAAGCCAGCCCTTTCTCCAGATCACCGAACCACCGTTCTACAGCCTCGGGGTGCAGCCCGCGCGGCACATTGGTTGTGATCCCCCGCAAGGCATTCCGCACGAGATGCATACTCTCCAGCCGCTGGTCCCGCCACTCCGTCTCCGCCAACACCGCGGCCCCGTGCTCGCGACAGAGTTGCCAGAACCGATCGCGCAGCCGGTACTTTTCGTCAAACGACCCCTGGCCGGGCTGCGCGTTCCACAGGAAGGCGCGTACCGGATCCCACTGCGGATAGGGGACGGTGCCGGCGAATTCCCAGTCCAAGATCGCGGTGATGCGGTCGGTGGCCGGGTCGTAGAGGATATTGGCAAAGTGGAGGTCCTTGTGCGCGAGGTAGAAGTTGCACTCCGTGGGTGTGTCCCCGGCGAGCGCGGGGAGGCGATCGAGGAAGGCGGCGATACGTGAGCGGAACGGGGCCAGGGGGCTTTGCAGCGAGGGATGGATGTCGGCCACGTGCAGGTAAGATCGCACGGCGGCAGAGACGTAATCGGCGAAGCTATCGAAGGGCCCGCGGAAGTTGAGGCTCGTAAAGGTTTCCTCTTTGGAGAAGTAGCGCGGGATGTCGCCGGTGAACCAGAAATGCTCGTCCAGCATGGGGCCGACGGTGATGCTGCGCTGCTGCTGCTCGTCGAAGGCCAGCCCTCCGATTCGTGGGAACTGGTGTTGATGGAGCTCGAGAAGGATTTTCATTAGCTGCAACAGAATCGAGTCGAGTTGAGCCTCGCTTAGAGTTGAGTAGATGTCGGAGATGGCTTGGCCCGGGCACCGGTTGCAAATCAGATACTCGCAAACTAAGGGGTTGGCACTGGTCACATCGAAGGCAACAACATCGGGAACAGGGATGGAGGTGTGCTCGCGCAGCCACGTCAGGATCGCGGTTTCATTCTCCGTCTTGATGCGCGGCACATGATCCCCGGAGATGCGCAGGATCAAGTCCACCTCCTCTTCTTCCCCACTTGAGGGGAGGGGCCTGTCCGATCGCAAGAGTGGCGCAATGATTGCTCGGGGATAGGTCAAGACGTAGATGATGTGGAAAGCAGCGGTCACTTTCAGGGGCTTGATTGCGACAGGACGGCTGAGACCGATCGAGTCCAGCAGAGCGAAAATCGTCTCCTCCGCAAAGGGTTGCGGGAGATTGTTCTCGGTGGCAACTCCCATGGCGACGGGCAATTGGTAGAAGCGGAGGCTTGGAAGGATTCAAGTGGTAATTGGTAGTAGACTACTACTATCACTGTGTTACTGTTTGAAACCAACAAAGAAGATGTATTTATCTCGATTTGGCACCCTTGATTGCGAGGGAGCCGATGTCGGGGGGAGCGAGCGGCTGATAGTGGCGATAAAGATAGGGCTCGAGCTGGCGGTCGACGACGGCTCTTCCCGCACGGTTACACTCGCTGTCACCCCGTGGCACCATCCACAACCCCAATGATACCTTCCTGCTTCCTCGACTAAACTAGGCGAATTTTAGCTAGTGGATACGTTATCATAGACTTAACTCCTTTGGGTGACAGGCTGTCTACGGGCCTTGGCAGGCAGGCATCCTCGACCCTTTCCTCCTCGTTTCAATCACGTGATTCATCGTCTTTCTGGTTATATCCTACCACCTCGACGCGCTGGTCATGAAGGCTCACCCTTCAAGTCAGTTAACTTTGTGCTCATCATGATTCACAAGATTCCTCGTAACTCTGGTTACCCTTCTCCTCGCATCACTATTGCCGGGTGCGGGGTCTTGGGCAAAGGTATCGCCACCGGTCTTATGGCCTCGCCTTTGAACCTAGACCCCAGCAAGATCACTCTGACGGTTCGACGTGAGCAACACGCTCACTGTCTGCGTGAGGAATTTCCCGGTCTTGCTATAACTCTCGACAACGGGGATCCAGCGCTCTGGCAGGGGAAGCCGACTGATGACGAGGAAGGCCATTTTCTCTTCATCGTCACTAAGCCTCAGCATGTCCAGCTGGTCTGTGCCGATATCTACCCCCATATTCAAGCTAGTCGCACTCCTCCTGTCGTGATCACCCTCTGTCCAGGCATCACCATCGCGCGACTGCAAGGATGGCTTCCCACAGGCACGCCGATCGTCCGCTCGATGCCCAACACCCCGGTTATGGTTTGCCAGGGGGCGACCGGACTCTTCCCCTCGTCACTAGTCACTCCCTGCCAGCTGGATACTCTCACCCGCATGTTCGAGGCAATCTCACCGAGCGTCGTCACACTGGCCCATGAAGATCAGTTAAATGTGGTGGCTGCCATTTCAGGGTGAGTTACCCTCCTCCTTATCCCTTCTTTGGGTCATGGTGGCGCACCTCAAATTTTTCGGTGGAAGGCAGTCTTGCTAATCCGACAACTCGTACCAGGTCCGCTCCCGCCTACTTCTACCGTCTTATGGATAGTATGGTCGCGACTGGCATGTCCCTCGGACTTCCCGAGTCTCTCGCCCGGGATCTAATCACGCAGTCTTGTATTGGATCCGGAGCATTCGCGCGTGAAATCCCCGGCGTCTCACTGGCACAGTTGAAGAACGATGTCTGTGTTCCCGGGGGTAGTACGGAGAAGGCGATGAACGTCCTGGATGCCCACGGGTGGCATCGAGCGGTGAAGGAAGCGATCACGGCCAGTCTGACTGCCAATCGGTCCATGGGGCAGAAGGTCAAAGGAGGTTCGTGATATTTTATCTACGAGAACAAGGAATGGCTTCCAGGTTTCCTGTCATCATGAGAATAGTTGATCTAGCTGTATCGATTGTACATAGTCTGCTTTAATTGCATTGCCCCGCTGGGAGGTTTTATGATATTGCTTTGCGATCAGTCCCTCATTTCTTTAATTCTCTCGAAATTCTTTCTCGAACTATTATTGTTGTTGTAGTAGTAGTAGTAGTACGGCGAATGTTATGATCGCGGGATCTCATATCGGACTAACGCCAAGTTGTTTACAAATATATATTTCTGACACGGCAGGCTTGCCGTTTACACAAAAATTCTCTCCGCATTATGTCGAAGTTTGGATCTATCTAGAGTGTTATTACAGAGCCGATTCTGGAAATGATTTCGTACGTCTCTTCTAGTTTCAAGAGTGTATACTACTGTCCTATCGACCTTCAATTGCATGTCCCCATTTTTGAAGTCGAGTATCTACGAGCACATGGCATGCACGGATGCGTATATTTTAATTTACGCCCTTAATCAGACTAACCTGGTTGGGAAAGAGACTAAGCATTTTCGCCAAGCCCATAATGGCCGCTGCGTCTGAAGAAAAGAGGGTCACATCTACGGAATGGAGCGATTAAAAATTTCAGGACGATCGGACCTCCGTCGGGGGGGCAGGAGATCTTCAGTTCACCAGCCTCAGTGTCAGATTCCAATCGGAAATTCGTTAGCAATCCTGCTGACAATCACCTTCGCGATGCGCCGAAATCGGCTAATGCCTGTCGTCGATTTTCCGCCCCCACGAGCTTAATTTAGCGTGGTTTCACTCCTGTATTACGAGCATACACTGTATGGCAGCGTTATTCGTGTCAATGATAAGAGATATCGGGTGAGGGGTAACATGCATCCCCTCCATCCCTAAGTCAATACACGGCAACAGAGAGGGGATCCCGACTCCAATCCTTTGGGGATAGAACTCGAAGCACATCTTTATCGTGCCATTGAAGAATATCGCATGATAGCGGGAGTGTGGTTTCAGCTGGGCCGAGGCTTAACAGCCCATAACCACAGTACAAGGTATTCCGGGTTGGGGTTACCGAATCTGTCTGGTGAGGATTCTACCATCCTAGATATATACTACTATTACTGGTGCTACTGTCAGAGTGCGCAGGAGGCTCTCGTTGCATGCTTCATTCTTATCCTACTCTCGAACTGCATTTCATCTACTAATTGACCAAAACCGTATCATCATGACATTCGAAACTATTGACCTGGGGGTCATGCAAATTGGCACTCTCGAGGATCAGAAAAAGGTCGGGGAGGCCATCAAGAATGCCCTTGAACGACAGGGATTTCTGAAGCTTACCAACCACGGCATTGCGCCAGAGATGATTGACGAGTTATTTGCTTGGGTCTGTATTTCTTCTCTTCTCCGTGCGGGAGACAAGACCCAACTGACAGATTTCAAAGAGCAAGCAATTCTTTGCCCTGCCTGACGAAGTCAAAGCGAGAGCTCCGCACCCACCCACCCCGACTCCAAATCGAGGTTATAGCGCGGTGGGGATGGAGAACACTTCCGTGCACGGCAATCTGGGCAAGAAAGGTGGGAAAGTCCTTCCCCCGTTGATCGACATGAAGGTGAGTCCCAAGATATGTGCCCTCCCCATTCGCATCCTTTGACTTTTGGTATACGACCAGGAATGTTTCGATCAAGGCGCCGCCGACGACGAGCTCTACAACAATATCTGGCTCCCCGAGTCCGATCTTCCCGGCTTCCGGACCTTCATGGAGTCTTACTTCGAGGCTGGATTTGCCTGCCAGCAACGTATCCTCAGCGCAGTGGCCCTGGGCCTGGGGCTGCCACCCACTGCGTTCGACCACCTCCATCACAAACGCCAGAACGAGCTTCGCCTCACCCACTACCCGCCCATCGAAGCGCGACAGCTCCAGGACGGCACCAAGACACGCATCTCAGAGCATACCGACTTCGGCACCATCACCCTCCTATTCCAAGACTCGGTGGGTGGGCTCGAGGTTGAAGACCACACTTCCGTCGGCACCTTTCATCCCATCGAGTCGGAGAGGTATGAGATGATCGTCAACATCGGAGATTGCTTCCAGCGCTGGTCGAACGGGGGGCTGCGCTCAACGCGACACCGCGTGCACGTCTCCCAGCGCGATTTGCAGAATCAGTCCGAGTTCCTTCCCGGAAGGTACTCGGTCGCGTACTTCACCAAACCGAACCGCGATGCAAGCGTAGGGTCTATGCCGGAGTTACTGAAGCCAGGGGCGCAGGCGATTTACTCCGACCTCACGGCGGGCGAATTCGTCTTGCAGCGGTCGGCGACCACGTACGGGAGTTACGAGGGTGCCGGGGAGAAGCAGACAAAACTGTAGATTATTGGCTAGATTAGCGTGCGTGCACAAGATAAATTGACCTTTTCAATACCTTGCAAATTGTGATCGAACCGCCCGATTGTCTATTCCTCGCTGGGACAATTAGTACAGTACTGTGGTCTTTCCCAGTCACTCGCTCGGGGAGGGCAGCCCGTGCCATCCAATGCTACCCTCAAAAATGCACCGTCAGGTGATCGGTCGAGGATGTTTCCTAGCACGTCATGATTGACCTCTGGCTGGGCCTGGATTGAAAAGAGACCCCGTGTCATTGGGGCGCGGTTGAGAAACGATAAGCATTCGCTTCCAGGGCTTGATCTGGACTGTTTTCCGAGGAAAATGACACCTTTTGCGGAGGACTGGTCGGACTGAGCCGCACTTCCTGCAGAAACTCATCAGACCTAATCAGACCGCGGAAGCCACGCGCGCACGCACGCATACACGCTAGTTAGGGTTGGGCGTTAGTCAAACGGCCGGGGGTCGAGCCGTCGGCCGCTATTGAGTAGTGTCGTATTGGTCCCGTACCGATTGATCTAATATGTACAGTACATACGTTAGCTTACATTACATACCGATAATCCTGATAAGCGGCATGTCGGCACGGCAATCTCATTCAAAAAAGCATACAAGCCAAAAATCAAACAAAAAGCCATGCTATCTATCTTATCGCGACTTCATCACGACCAGAAAATCAATGTGGGCTTCTCCTGCGCATTGACCGCTGGTAATAGCCCCATGAAACTACTGAACGCCAGACGCGGTCGATTGGAGCCCTGGGTCACCGGGAAGACTTGGTGCATGTTGCGGGTGTTGAAGATACACAGCTGGCCGACCTCTGGCTGGATTATCGCGTGCTTTGTCCCCGCTACCACGTTCGCATGGTATCCATACGAGTTGGGGTCGCGAAAGGCCAGCGCCTGCTCCGTCCAAGGTTGGTCATGGATCACTGTGTGCCCGCCGTGCACCGGGGTCAGATAGAGGTTGAACACCGCCTGATGTGAGATCCGGTTGATGATCCAGTCCTCCGTCAACGAGTCATACGGAGACCAATCGCAATGCACCGGGGTGGACTCGTTAATGGCCCGGTAGATACCCGCAAAGTATCGCCGGCCGGGGCCTTCCTGCGCCACCATCACCTCGTAGTCGGGCAGGAGGGAGGCAATCGCGTTGAACACTTTCTGCCACAAATTGAGGCCTGTCTGGCTGGCTAGCTCCTCGTGAAGACCCGAAATCTTCTGCACTTCGGCGAAGTAGCGTGCTTTCTCTAAGGAACGGGATCGAACACAGATTAGCATGTCTCATTCCATGTCCAGAATCACCTAGAGGAAGGGGTCGACACGACTACATACCATCAGATCGGTGTTGGAAGTCCTCCGCCGATTGCGCCTGGAATTCAAACTGCGCCAGACCCACTTTCTGAACCTCAGGACCAGCAATGTGTGAGTAGGGAATCAGTTTCTTTGTCAAGACGGCCTCGAAGCGCTCCGATGTTTCTTGCGAGACAAAGCCACGTTCGGAGATGAGCGGGGTGTTGCCCAAGAGAACATCGAGGAAGCTCTGGCGGCTAAGAGAAGCAGCCTCGGTCGTCTTCCACTGCGACTTGCGCGAAGGCATATTTGTCTGCACAGGCTTGAAGTCGCGGTAGGCATCATTATAGATGACTGGCAAAGGGGACGCAGAAGACGTAATGGTCTCAGTAGAGGACGTCATAAAGCGAGACCCAACTCTCTTGGGAATAGAGGGTAGTCTTGTAGAGAACATGATGAAGGGAATGTGGAAATAAGTAGCTGACAGGGGAAAATCACCGATAAGAAAGAGGAGTCACGTCCGGCAGTGGAAGGGAAATGAAAGGTTTGGGCAACCTGGAGACGGCGCAGAGGATATAGGTCCCTGCCTCGGCCACGAAATGATCATACCACGCTCCGCGGTATCGGAATGAATACCACAAGTTCCGTCTAGTAATGAGGGGAAGTGGAAGATAGGGATGGTCTCGATTAGGATGAAGCATGACCGCCACTAGTCTTGCAACCAGATATCGAAGGATCTTGTAGGCTTGAAGCCATAATTTGGCCCCATGCTGGACCCGCCCTTCCCCAATACTCAACATCCTGCAAACTCCGAGGCCGTGGTTGCCGCTAGTATTGAGTATAGAAGACGATAATTGTTGATAAGTCTTGTGCTGAAAGATATGACTCTTCAGAATTGGCAATCATGGACGAGGACCAGGAGTTCCTGTCCGGGACCGGCGTGGGGAATGCTCTGGACGATACCATCTCGTTGTTCCTTGTAGATTAGCCTAGGGCTTGAGACAGTATATGAAGAATTGGAGACCTTCAATGTTCGAAAGATCTCCTGATCGTTAAACATTTCTCTCTTCTTATCCTCAGAGTCATATCCCTTCTCCGAGTCAGTTGACTTGTTTCCCTTTTTCTCTTTGTATCACCTACTTCACTATATTTGTAACACAATAACAACTTGACCATGTTCCCTCAACCACCCACTCTAGAGTCTGAGGACACTGTGGCGTCCATTCTCTCAGATGCCTTTGAGTCAAATTTGGGCGGTGTAGCCATTGACTGGGAGCACGAAGAACAAATCACCTACGAGCAATTGCGAGGCAAGGTGCAGAGACTTGCCCGGAGGCTTCGACCTCAAGCACCTCCTGGGACCTCAGTCGTGGTGTGTTTACCTCGGTCGATTGCGCAAATTGTCAGTATCGCCACAGTTCAATGGCTTGGAGCCGTTTACGTGCCCTTGGACCCAACCATCCCTCAAAGCCGACTGGATGGCTTGTTGAAGCGACTGCAAAAGCCTGTCATCTTGGCGAATCAAGACTTTCTTCAACGATATTCCGACCCCCAACTGATTGATGGGACATATTTCAATGCCGAGCAATGTCTGGCCGATGATGAAGGGCATGCCATGGAAGAGAGTAGTCAACCTATTGCCACCCGTGAGCCGGACGATCTGGCGATTATTCTTTTCACCTCGGGAAGTACGGGTGAGCCCAAAGGCGTGAAGCTCTCGAACCGCAATATCATCGAGCCCATTCGCTACTTGAGCTGCGAGCAGGACATCACCCCCAATTCTCGAATCCTTCAATTTGCCGGCCCATCGTTCGATGTGCATATGCTGGACATATTCTGTGGGCTTTTCAATGCCGCGACTTTGTGCTTGGTCACGAAAGACAAGCTTCTTTCCCAGTTGGCCTTCTGGATCAATCACATGGAAGCGAATATGATCCATCTCACTCCAAGCATGTTGTCAATGCTGCGCCCCGAGGATGTTCCTGGGATTCGGTACATGCTATCCAGTGGAGAAGCGATCACTCAGGAGATAATCGACACGTGGGCATCTTCCGCAGTTCTCTTCAATCTTTATGGTGCGTATGGCGCGTCAGAGAAGATAGATCGCGATGCTAACATACCTGTCACATCAGGGCCCTGTGAAGCCTCCTCCATAGTCGGCTCGCGGCTGCTACCGGGCGATTCGGCGAGTATCATCGGCAAGGCTACTCCATTCTCAAAGATCATTGTTCTACGAGAGGATGGGCAACCTGCCGATCCAGGGGAGTCTGGTGAGATCTATTGTACCGGAAAGACCGTCTTCCTGGGATACCTTGGGAGTGAAATCATGACGCGATCGAAATTCCGTGCGCAGGGCCCAGGTCTTCCCGATCTATTTGGCACAGGAGATGTCGGTATAGTGACCGAAGATGGATATCTAAAGCTCTTGGGCAGAATTGATACTCAGGTAGGACTGAGAAAGAATATTTTCTGGGAACGAGAACTGGCTAACAACTGTTGTGTATAGGTCAAGATCAATGGGCAACGCGTCGAGTTGCAGGAGATTGACCATGCGTTGGCTACTATCGCTGCCAAAGCAGTCACAAGGTGGAGGAAGGATCCAGGGGGGCAGATTCGACTTCATTCCTTCGTGTCTGAGTCATCTGATTTCTGCTATCCGTCCGATTCTTGTGAGCTGCTCACTGACGGCCAGGAATTTATCGACCGTCTCTCGGGAGCCTGTCGTGCCACGCTGCCTTCGTACATGATTCCCGAGATTATCCCGGTAAGTGCATTTCCCCTGAATGCAAGCGAAAAGATTGATCAGAAGCGTCTCGACCTTTTGCTCGAGTCTCACCTACAGTCAGCCAGTGGTATCCTTGAGCAAGATGCCATGGCCGGAAACACTGCCACAGAGCAGATAATAGCCAAGATGATCAGTGAGCAGCTGAACCGCCCTGTGCGATCTGCTCGGAGCAATTTACTCTCAATGGGACTTTCTTCACTTGATGCCATGGCTGTGTTGAAGCACATCTACCTCGAGTTCGCTGTGTCTCTTTCTCTACACAACTTCCTTCAAAGCCCGACTGTAAAGCAGGTTGCAAGAATGGTCGATGAGCAGGCAGAAACGAAAACGACAGATCTCTCCACTCAACCTCCAAAGAAAGGTAAATCTATTCACAATGATGAGGCGATCACGTCTCCATCTCAGGACCGGATATTCGCAGCCGACAAATTGCTTGCCAATAGTGCATACAACTGCAATTTCGTCCTTCGCCTTCCCTCTATGGACCTGGACATGGAGCGCCTGCGCCGGGCTGTGTTTCAAGTCTATGCCCGGCATGACGTTCTTCATTCGACATATCATGAAGTTGATTCTGATGGCCAGGAGGCGGGCGCCCACCAATTGCCCCTTGTGAGGCAAAGAGTGTGGCCGGTCGCTGATCTTCCACCACAGTGGACAGTGGTCAGCTTCAAGGATCTGGAGACAATCAGCGTGCAACAAAAGAAGTCCGTGCTCGAGAGCTCTATGGACCGCATCGCAACGGACGCGGAAGTTCTATTTAACCTGAGCCAAGAATCAGCCCTGAGAGTCACAGTCTATGAGCTGGGGTCCCAGCAGTGGATTGTCCACTTTAACATCCACCACATCGCTATGGATGAATGGTCATTCCATATTCTCACGAGAGAGATTGAGGATATCTATTCATCCGAGCA